TAGATTTTAAAATTTATATAAACCAATAATTTGTACCGTCTAAAGAAAACACTGAAAATTAAGTAACGTCATTAAATTTGTTTATTTGTTTATCCTTAACTTCAATCTTTCTCTCAAATCTGTAGAGTTTACAAGTAAATAAAAAGGGTAATTTAGCAATTATAGTCTCTACAATAGAAATGATAACTTAAAATTATGTGAGAAAAGGAATAACATCGTGAAAAAATCATCATATTTAATGACATAACGATGATTTAATCTCTACTCACATCAAATACTCAATAAATTCTACTCTTCAATTACTTATAATTATTTTTATAATTCTTATGCCCATAATATGCTCCTTCGAATAAATCTTCTGAATCGACTTTTACTTCTGGACATGTCTGAACTACATATGCATATGCTTTCAGCAAGAACTTCGATGTATTTATAGAGAAATAGACAGATATGATTAACCTGTTCATGCATACTTCATTTGTAACATGTATCTAAATGTCTTTCTTGATTCAAAGCTAAACATTTACATATATATTTGAATATGAAAAATAATGTCAACAACTTAGAGCATCTTTATTCATAAAACAAAGAAACCATGCAGACAAGCTAGGAAAGAAAACTGAAAATGCTAAGAATATCTTGCAGAACTTCAAGGCTAGCTCTACAGCAAGCATATATCTGGATGGAAAGCAATTATTCCACTGAGACAGGGGAATTCCCGAACGCGGCTTTACAATTGATGATGGAGTTCTCATTCCTCTCCTTCCCAATGATTTTCACATTCCTGCTCTTTCTGCTCATGGTATTCAAAACCAAGATCAGTTCAAGTCCTCCAAAACTGCCTCCTGGGCCATGGAAGCTACCTATAATAGGAAACCTTCACCAACTTGTTGGATCTCTACCCCATCGCGGCCTAAGAGATTTGGCCATGAAATATGGACCTCTGATGCACCTGCAACTAGGACAACTTTCTATTGTTGTCATTTCTTCGGTAGAATATGCCAAAGAAGTGATGAAAACACATGACGTTGTCTTTGCTAGCAGGCCGCCTTCTCCCACTGTAAACATTATGTTTGAGAATAACATTGTCTTTGCACCTTATGGGGATTACTGGAGACAACTTCGAAAACTTTGCATATCGGAGCTTTTAAGTGTCAAACGTGTCCAATCATTCCGATCCATCAGGGAAGAAGAGACCTCGAATTTGATCAAATCTATTTGGATGCAAAAAGGATCTCTCATCAATCTCAGTGAAATGATTTTCTCATTGACATACAGCATCACTGCAAAGGCAGCCCTTGGTAAGACATTCCATGGGGAAGAAGAATTCGTCTCTCTTATCAGGGATTCCTTAGTGATAGCAGGAGGTTTCACGGTTGCTGATCTCTTTCCTTCAGTACAAATGCTTTCTTTGATAACGGGGCTGAGGCCTAGAGCTGAGAAGATTCATCGAGAATTTGATAGGATATTAACTACCACCATTGCTGAACATAAAGAGAGGAAGATGGAAACACAGACCGGTGATGGTGAAGCTGATCATGAAGACCTTGTAGATGTTCTTCTAAATCTTCAATAGGAGGGTAACCTCAAGATTCCCTTAACTATGACAAGCATCCAGTCAGTTCTCTTGGTTAGTACATTTAATTACTTTCTACTTCTATCAATGATCAATTAAGTTATTTCCACAAATTACGTACTTTTACCTCTAGCTCAGCCAAAATTCAAAACCCTTTTTAGATACTAAAATTTACTTTTAGACGTTTGATCTTCTCAAACACCAACTTCCACATTGTGTCAAAAATGGCTAATGCCCAAAATTGCTTCTGTTAAGGGCAAGCTCTCAAAGTTGCAGATGATATTCATTGAATTGTTCTACATATATTATATACTCAATCTATTCTTTTAACTCAGTTTTAATGCTCTTTTAGGACATGTTCACTGCTGGGATTGAGACATCATCTACAACTTTAATCTGGGCAATGTCAGAAATGCTAAAAAACCCGAGAGTTATGGAAAAGGCACAAGCTGAGGTGAGACAGGTTTTAAGTAAAAAAGGAGATATTGTTATTGAAGATGACCTCCATGAATTGAGTTACTTAAAGTTGGTTATCAAAGAAACTCTGAGGTTACATAATCCTCTCCCCCTCTTAGTTCCAAGAGCGAGTAGAGAGAGATGTGAAATCAACGGATATGAGATACCTGCGAAAACCCTAGTCTTTGTCAATTCATGGGCAATTAGTAGGGATCCTGAAAATTGGAGTGATCCAGAGAGCTTTATTCCAGAGAGATTCCTTGACAGTTCAATTGATTACAAGGGAACTCATTTTCAATATATCCCATTTGGTGCTGGGAGGAGAATCTGTCCAGGTATGTCGTTTGGGATGGCTAATATTGAGCTTCCACTTGCAAATTTATTGTATCACTTTGACTGGAAACCTATTGAGGGAGAGAGGCAAGAAAATCTTGACATGACTGAGGTATTTGGTGCATCAGCTAGCAAGAAAAGAGATCTGTGTATAATTCCCATTGCTTATACTCCTTCAATTGGTGAATAATATATTAACACAAGAAGGTAGAAAGCATTGGACGATAATAAAGAGAAGATGGATGTTATGTGTTCTTCCACAAATAATTGAATAAAGAGTAGGCTTCACTTATTGTGTTTTTTAAAAAAAAGTTTTAAAATGTTTTGATCTCAGAAGCCATAGATTTTTATGCATGTGTAAGTAAATTGAAAAAAATCTTATTAGCCTTTACGTTAATAGAAATCTCATGACTTTTGTCAAGTGGGTGACTTCATTGTAGCTCCACTTTTGAATTTGGTGCGATGCGTAGTTGATCATACAAGCCATACATTCCATACAATGAGCAATGATTCTCTAACTGAAATCTGAGATTTTTGACAAACTTTCTGGGTAAAGAATACTGAGTAATTTATGGTCTACATTAATAATTTAAATTACAAAGCGTATTACTATCTTATTGCAATAGCACTTTAGAAATATAAATAATTAAAATAAATGTCCCATCCTATTAAATATTCTACCAAATATCCGCAAGTGATCTCAAGAAATTAAATATTGTCTCTTCAAAGGTACACAATATTATTTTCATATTCGAAATATTGTTTCTTATGTGACTTTTAGACTACAGTAAAGCAACCTTACAAATTTTGCTAAGACTCACTCTTAATTTTTCTACATAAACAGTAGAATAATATTTTAATACATGTTAGACTAAAACACATCATTTGAATTCATTAAAACTCTTAGGATTAAAAGCTTAATCCATTTAATTAGATAAGAATCACATTAAAAAAATGATAGTAGTTTGTATAATGTGATCGTATGACAATATCCCATTTTTATTTCATATTCCAAGCCCTACAAGACACTATTTAAAGTCAATTACTCCAATAATTGAGACATACCACCTAATCTCGATATGTTATAATTTAAAATACAGAAGTGTCCAATTTTTTAAGGATAGGGATACATGGGCCAATGATTTTAGCCGATTAGTTTAGCAGAATTTACGTGGCAGTCCTGATAAGCAACTATTTTTCCAACGTAAAAACTACGGGACTATTATGTCTGGCGATGAAACTTTCTTACTGAGGTAAAAGGATGACGGCTTACTTAGCCGTGTGGATGTAGACGATGGGAGTTGTGTCTATTAAACACAACCGGCGGCGATCTGGGTTTGGTGTTGCAGAGAAGGTTTAATTTTTTATTTTTTTTCAATTGGAGTTGGCTTTGTGATGGGAATAAGTGGTGATTGTGGAGGAATCGGCTATGGAAGGCTCGGCTATGGATGATCTCTGCCGTGATGGAAGCGGACTGGCGCAGTGATGGCCGACGGTTGGTGCAACGGTCCAGACAATTTATACTCAGTCAAAAACCTACTAAAGCGAAAGTTACAGCTTGAAAATAAGCACAATTTCTTAAAAAAATTTATATATAAAACAATGTAGATACTTCTTGTCCTGGAAGAGTCAAGAAGGTCTAGGAATATACCACTCAGCAATATGAAGAATGCAGAAGGGTAGGAAGACGGGTGAGAAAACCAGTCCAGAAAAAGAAACTTGAGCAATGGTATGGAAGGAGCTGCCGTCAGTTCTTACCCGATTCTTTTTGTCACTACCTCCTTTTATAGCCCTAGGTCATCTAATCATGCCTCCTTGGGTCATGTTGCCCTAATCCCTATATTTTTGGATCAACTGCCAAGTGTACCTTTCCTGTTGAATAATCCAAGAATGACAGGCTGCAAAGGCGATTGTACTATTCCAGCTGTCCTTTGCTCTTATCCTCAAACTGGGTCTTGCCTTAGTGGGCAAGACATTGCTAATTTCCCATCCTCCATTCCAAAATCCCTTCAATATCCCAGTGTCACTAGAAGAACACTACCATAGCTCTTCGTTGCTTGAATAAAGGCTCAAAGCCCATCAATTGATGATTTGCTGCTACATTGATTTGAGGCTCAGGATATGTCGGTCGTCAAACTGTGACAATCACAGGCCCAAGGCCCGTCGCCTAACAAGCTGTGAAGAGGTCGAATCGAGGTTCAAGGCCCGTCGATCGACAAGCTGTGAAGGGGTCGGATCGACGTTCAAAGCCCGTCGATCGACAAATTATGATAGAGTCAAATCGAGGTTCAAAGCCCGTCGATCGACGAATTGTAATGGGGTTGGATCGAGGTTCAAGGCCCGTCGATAGATGAATTATGATCGGGTCGGATCGAGGTTCGAGGCCCGTCGATCGACAAATTGTGATGGCGTCGGATCGAGGTTCAAGGCCCGTCGATCGACGAATTGTGATGGGGTCGAATCGAGGTTCAAGGCACTTAATAAATTTTATTAGTTTAGGAGTTATTTTAATTCGATAATTTATGCAAGGTTTTAATAATAGATGGAGATTTTATAATTTTAACTCTATTATTTACTAGAGTTACTCTCTCTCTCTCTCTTTATAGCATTGCGCGCGCGCGCGCGTTTATAGCATTGCTCTCATTCATCTCCCTCGGTCCAACTTGCTACCGAAGATTGGTTGCTTCATTTAATGAGACAATATAGATGGTGGTCCTATATCATTTGGTATAGGTGACTATGGGCTGGGCTAGTCTTTACCGTCCAATCTGGCCTTGTGGGCCTATACACAAAGCCCAGACCCTGTGATAGACTTAGTAGCGTTCATATGGTTATGGTGTGTAATAAATGGAACCGGTCTATCAAGCCATCAGATGAGACAGTGCTGATTGATTCGATGATCTCTGACAATTATGGACGGTTTCGATTAAAGACTATCTAAACAGACGTTGAAGATCAGTGGACCCACAATTAGTGGACCAAAATTTAAATACTCCAAAACCTTCCGTGTAAGTGACTCGCGCAGAATTCAGTAGAAGAGGAAAGTAGAGAGAGAGAGAGAGAGACCAGAGGAGATCATTCGGCGTTCTACGCCTTCAATGGGTTCAAGTGTTGAAGTCCCAGTGTTCGTGGACACTAACTTGGGCACTCGTATTGCTATGGCTATTAGTCCAGACATTACAGCTTGTGATTTCAAAAGTGAGTCATATTTATATTCATTTATTTATATGTGCCCAGCAATGTAATTTTTGGTAAAATTATGTGTGTGTGTGTGTGTATATATAGTCTTACACATTAGCATATAATGAAAATGGGTTCTTTATGACAGTTGGTGACATGGGTTGTTTCTTCTATTATTGCTTTGGTTGTGTAAATTATGAAACATAGCTTTAGTTTAGCCCTTTGAAAGTGAAATTTATATAACAGTGTGAACCTTTTTGGGTCATTGCAGTTTCTATACCTAACACATGACTTTGTATTTTATAATGGGTGTTTGTTTATGTTGATTCTCTTGCATGTGTGTTTTTGTTGTGCTGAATGTGATGAGATTTGCTCCGGGGACTGGCCTATGTGGCTAGATAAGCATATGTTTGAGGAATGACAATTGGAGTAGAGTTTTGAAATTAAGAAACATAATTTGTAGGATTTTCTGAAATAAATTGTAGGTTTCTTATATATATAATATGTGGTTCCCGCCATTTTAAGGCATAGGGAGAGGCTGTTTCCTGATTTGAACCCGTGACCTCCATCCAGTCAAAATGGAGCAACCTTACCGACGGTTTTGAAGTTTCATTTATCATTTCATTAATTATTAATTCAATATTTATTCATGATTCATTGTTTGTGCATTAAATTTCAAGACCTGATATAGTATCCAAAACTTCTAAGATTTAGCATTCAGTTGTATCATTTATGTAATCGACAATGTCAATGTGGCAAAGCGGGTTTGGGCATTAGACATATTTGTGATGATGATCTTGTAGGAAGGGTGTTAAATCTACAACACTTAATAAATATTTATACCGATTCCTTTTAGAGTTGCCTTGGTGCTTACTACATAGGCAAAGATAATCTGTAGAGTATCTCCTCAAAAAAGAGAAATACCGGAAGAACTCTGCCTTTTTAGTTGGATTTCACCATTCCAAATTCTTCTACTTGGACATATTGTCAAGCTCATGACATCCAACTTTATGTCTTTGCTTTAAATCCACCGTTGGTGAACATGCTAGCGCACTTATCTGCTCTGCTCAATTAATTTTCTCCAACATTCCCGGGCTTATCTACATGCAATCTCACTCATTATTCAACCAACCTCTTGATTAGAGTGAATCCATCAGTGTAAGCTTAATAGGCTGGATACCTAGATTATGGAGTCGAACAATGGGTTAGGGCACTAACTTTGATTTAGTTATTTTCAATGCCTTAACCACATGCACGGGTGCCCATATGCATATGACCAAGGTTGAGAAATATAAAATGAAAAGCCTAGTACTTTGGAGATGTTTCACCCTGACAAAAGGTTAAGCTGTCAAAAAAAAAAAAAAAAGACATAAGGTTAAGGGATATAAATTCTCTCATCATGCCTCACACGTTAATGTTTCTGCCAGTGTCTTATTTGAGTCGTTTCTCAAACTTGATGTGACCATGACTTCACGGCACTGATCTTTAGTGTGCACAATTGAACCAAGCTTGCTGTCTGAGATTTGGCTTGCTGAGTAATTTGGCCTTGTGAACAGGCTACCTAATATTTCAACCTCCATCAGTAACTAATACCGTCTATTGGCCCAATATCATGTGAAAGGACCATAACTTATATCTTCTTCTTTTTTTGATAAATAGAAGGACTATTAACTTATATCTAGACAATGTGGCCGTCAATGTTGGCAGATGCATATATTCAAAAGTTGAATAGTTACTATACCACTATAGAAAGGATTGGCTAATGAGTCGTGCAAAGTTCGGCATCCATGACATTTTTCTTCTTTTTACTTGTAGAACCTTTAACGTGCTACAAATCACACTGCCTCAACAGCTGTCCACACTGTGGCCAAATTCATGGATTGGCTTTGCCCGAGGTGTATATCCGCCCTAGTGGGCTGATGCAGGAGTATAGGATTTATAATTTATAGAGTAGAAAAATTGTCAGTTTGTCACTAACACTACTGCTTCCACCACTCCTGGGAAAAGGACTCGCTAACTCATATAAACCTCAGTGACAGAATAGAAATTCAAACTTACAACAGTCCCCTATCAACTTTTATGACGGTTTTAGGTTTGCAGGTGGATCCTTGTAGTATAGTTACATCTCCCTTTCATGAAACTGCATACTTGCCTCTTGTTTCATTTTTGCTTTTTGGTTGTTTGTTTCCGTAATGTAGCTTCTTGTGCATGCCATGGTCATGGTGCCACATCTTATCCTATTTCAACTCATTCAAAAGATTTCCGTACTTAACCTCAGCAATAGAAGGGATATTTTCATAATTGTTTGTAATGAGCTATTTGTTTCAGTTAATGATGGTGGTGAAAGAGTTCAAATATAGTGACACTACATAATTTTTTTATCATCCTATGCTTGTTTGACTTTAAAAATAAAATAAAAAATCAGCATCACCATTCATCACTGCTCAATTTGTAGGAGAGGTTGAGAAAGCGCACTTGGATTGTTTCCCGGAACTTGGAGAGATCAGGGTAAATGGATTAATGGTATGTTTCTAGATTGTTTTTTCCACCATTTTAATGTTATTATCAGGTTATCTATTCTATGCTCTTCTTGGAACCAGTTCATTACATTGAGCGCTTCATTTTCTCGTTGCTTCTAGCAGGTGAAGCGGAAAACATGCTTTTACCACCTGCCTGAGTCGTTGCTCATTAAGCATGCTTTCCAGAGTTCAAAAGGGACATGGTTTCTTCACATGGAAGCATATCCTTGGAGTGCTTCTGATAAGTTGGGTTTATGCGAATGTTTGGCTGCAGAAGTCGGGCATAATACTTCTAATGGTAGTGATATTACTGATTCTCAGGAACCTGAGAACCATGCAACTTGTACTAGTAAGAATCACAAAAGGTACAAGAGAAAGAAAACGAGGAAGAAAATATTTTCATGTCCAACTGTTGTCCTCCATGAGATTCTAAGAATTATCCACCTTTTGAAGAAGAAGAAGAAGAAGAAGAAGAAGAAAAGGAGAAAAGTGAAGAAACATCACTTCCTAAGTAATGAAGTTGTTACTGCTGAAGAAAAGTTTGTTTTCTTTGCATCTACAACTGAAGGTGAGCACACAGAAGAGTGGCATGCCAGTCCAATGGTGGATAACCCTTGTGAGACATCATTGGAAACTGTATCAGTTTCAGGCATCATCAAGAAATACTTTTCAGATTATGATGAGGTGATTTCAAACTCTGATGATACCTCTAGAGCAATCAAAAATACACCTGAAGAACAATTGATCACCAGAAGAGGCGATAATTGCACGAACATACAAGTTGATGCGACGGCACAAATTACAGCCAAAACACGTCCAAGAATGTTACCTTTTCCATTGTCCACAGACCCAAGTTCTCAAACCTCAAGGGATAAGCTGAAGGGAGCTGAAGTTGGGAAACGTCTTCTCGTGGCCTCAAATAATCTCAGCATTTCTGGGAGCAAGCAAAAACCTGTAATTGCCCTCCACAGATTTAGAGATGGTAAATCGTCAGAGCCCAAATCTTCATCTCTCATTAGAAGAATAGTCTTTGAGATCAGCGACAATGATGACTGAAGAATTCTGAGGTGCGTCCCTGGTTGGACTGCTGTGACAGTGCGATAAAATGCCTGTGCTCGTGCAGAGAAGGTCGGTCACTGCAGAAAGCCGGCTATAAATCTGGATCGGAAATGGACAAATATAATGCACTTGTAAGTTTCTAATGGTGCTTTGTGAGTTCTCTTCGCTAATAGTTTTTGGCTTTCATCAAGGTTTGAGCTTGCAAGTCTTTGGTTTGAGATGCAATCTTGGAAAAGAGAAGGATGGAAAGTGTCAGGAAGATTTTGAAATTGTCTGTGTAATTGTCTCGTATTGAACTTTGAAAAAAGTACCATAACAAAAGTTAGATATGTAATTCTTTTGGTCTCAAAGACTCAAAGTCCTTCAATTGTTTTTATGAATCTGTAAAACACATCTCTTTGTTTTTATTTTTTTCATTTTCCTTAACAAATCACCCCTCCCCCATTTTCGCCTTTCGGGACTTTAACTCTCGATTTTTCGCTTTGGTAAAGTCCTCCATTTATTTTTAGTTGGATATATTACTAGATTATAACCCTTGCTGGATTTATGAAGTTCATTGTTGTCTAAATCATACATTAGTGTCATTTCTGAATCACTGAAGCCCCAAAGGAAGATAAAACCTAAGCCTTCTGATGGAATTACTCTATTTCATCTTGAATTATGTTACTATTTTACTCTTCTTGTTCCTTTTCCATTTAATTTACCTTGGTGAGTTCTCTTATGCCATCAAACAGTGGAACCGACAATGTATTATATTTACCCAAAATCCAATTTCAGTATCTATTACAAAGTTCAACGTTGCTCCCTCTCTCTCTATATAGTGTGTGTCTGTGTCCCAATGGTGAGAAAAGTAGTTGAAATTTTGCTTTTGATATCTTTCTGTACTCCCTTGGTGAGAAAAGTAGTTGAGTCATTTGACAAATTGCTTTTGATCTCTATGTGTACACTGCATTCCCTTTGTGAGAAAAGTAATTGACAATTTGATTTTTTTTGTTTTTTAATAAAATAAATGAAATTTGATTGTTTTTTATTTATAAAATAAATTATTGATATTATTATTTTTTTACTTCAAGAAAAGAGAAAATACCATTAAACCTTCAATATTTGGCTTACTATGCATACAAAATCTTATGGATACATACGATTAGGGGCGGAGCCAGTGTGTGCCCAGAGGGGGCACATGCCCCTGGCCTGTCCCGCCAACTATAAAATATAATTTTTTTATTTTATTTAATTTGTACATTTATAAGAAATTTTTTATATAATGCTCCTTCTAAAATTTTAAATTTCTAAAATTGTCTTCTAATTTTTTCTTTTTTTTTTCTTTTGCTCTTAATATTCCTTTGATTTTCTTAAAAAAAAATTAAAATTTCCATTCTTTACTCGAACTTTAATTTTTTTTCCTTTCAAATTTCTCATTTTTCATCCCTTTTTCTTTTTCTTCTTCTTCTTCTTCTTCTTATTATTATTTATTTTGGCCCCCTACTTCTTAACATTCTTTTTTTTGCACCGAAGAATAATGTATATAATATGTATTTTTTTTTTTTTTTTGGTTCTTTTTATTTAAATTATAATAATTATTTTTTACACTGCGTCTCCTCAAATTAAAAGCCTAACACCACCCCGCATACAATACATATAAACTTTGTTTAACGTTTGGAGAAACCCCAAAAACCTCCTCACAAATTCAAAAATGCGTTTTGAGATATGATCAAAAAAAATAACAATGTCGTCAGTTTTGGAATTAGCATATTTGATTTTTAAAGTCTTCGCCTCAAGAAAGGAATAATGTGCCTTTCTTGATCACCCCCCTTTTCTTGTCCCCCTTCCAAAGAAAAATAAAGTGACTTCGAGGAATCAATTTCCCAAAGCAACACGAAATCAATGGATTCGTTGGAAAAGTTTCAAATAGTATTATTTCTTTAGGGAATTTTTTCACTTTTGGTTGACAGCTGGTAACTTTAATTAAGGAAATGAGAGGTCTAGTTCGAACGGATAAATTATTAAATGATTATGGATATTAACACTTTAATAATTTAAATATAGACTTTTTAAATGTATTAATATATTACAAAGTGTTGTGATCATATCATTTTCATTAAATTTGTTCGTCAAAGTGTCAAATAGACCAAGACCAAAACATAATTAGATTGACAACGCATGTTAAATAGTTGATACATAATCACAGTTAAATTCGATTGATTTTTCACACGGTTTTACACTTGAAAAAATTAATAATAATAATAAATGAATGCATTTCTGCTTAATGGGTTCCAACAAGTGGTGATGATCACAGTTCACCATTTCATAAATGTACTGTACTTTTAATGCACTTTACTGTATTTTTATTGTCCTCGGTATAAATGTCAAGTGTTAAAAAACTAGCCTTATATGTATTTGCTTTTTATTTATTTTTTGCTAGGGCTAATTATGTGCCTTCCATTTATATTTAGGATTATTTAATATCATGTTGCAAGAGAAAAGTTCTCATTTTCATATTTTCATTAATGCACTCTACTTTTAGTATCATTTATTCATTTTCCTTCACTTCCATAAATACAAATGGCAAATGTTAAAAACACTTGCATCATTCACTTATGTCACGTAAAGTGAATTCAAAAGTTTTAAGTTGTTGGGTAATGTCGTTTATTTGTTCTTACAAATTTAATATTTTTCTCATTTGTATCTGGCGTGGGATAAGAACTTTTACCTGAACTCGTAACACCTTTTTTGAGGTCAGATTACTTGCATATTCATGTTCTTAATAACAAAAGAACCTAATAATGATTCAGACCCAAATATCACCCGAGTAGATATTTAGCGTGACACTGGATCACCAACTAAATTTTGGCGTGACTATGGATTAATTGACTGAATCTGTTGTTATATATATCTCTTGTACGAATTAAGCATTTGCCATTAAAAATAAATAATAATAATAATTAAAAAAAAATCTGAAATTATTGAACAATGCTGCATATTGACGTATAGTTAAAAAAAGCTAGTCTTTTCGGAGAATTTAGATGGACACATTCACGTGTAGTTAAAAAATGCTATACTTTTTAATAGTGGACCCAATTGGTCCAAGCCCGAGACCAAAATGCGATGAAAGGCCCAAGCCCACTCTCTTGGATCCTTCTCTATCTTCATACTTCGCCTCTAAGAAAACCCCAGTCACTGTACATTGCTTTTATCAACAAAAAGAAGTATCTATTTTAATTTGTATGAAGAGAAGCAACCAAACGGGGTAACTCCAACGACGTCGTACTAATCATCCGCGAGTCAACGACGCCGTTTTTATATGGGATATATATTTTCCCATGTTAATCGAATAAGGCTAGTTAAACAACATATCGCACTAATTCGACTTTGACCAAACTGCCCTTGACTTGGGTAGTACCATTCTTTCCTTTTTTTTTTTTTTTTGTAAAATTATTTTAAAACCCTCTTTTGGTATCATATTCAGGATTATTATTTTTCAAGGCATCCTTGATCAAATTGCAATTATAAAATGACAAATGTCATGTCACTAAAAATAAATATAAAATTATCCTCCACACTGTTGAGACCCGATTATAAAATGAAAGTATGGCGTTTGAATTTAAAATAGGAAAAACTACACTTGCATAAAGTCAGGAGTCTTAAATAACAAAATGATATATTTTAAAAATTTATTTTTTACGTTAATTGAATTAAGTAAAATAATTACATATGCATCAATAACTATTGTTTAGGTCCAAAATACTCTCCAAATTATTCCAAAATACTACAAATTACTCTGCCCCTAAAATCAAGTACTTTCTTTAAATAATTTATTTACTTGAAAATTTTAAGAAAATAAGACATTTCCTTTAACTTTTAACCATATTGCTGCAACTTTTATACACACACACGAGAACTTATACACATAATAAAAAAATTCAATATAGTAAAAAATGGGACAATCAAAGGTTAGTCCCCAAAATAAAAATTATAATTAAACTTAATAATATATAAATCGTATTTAGTGTGGTGTGATCATCAGTTTTTTTTGCTCAAATAATTACACTTGTTTTATAAATGAATAAAAAAAATTTGATTGTTGGTGTACCATTCACTGAAACAACCATTTAGTTTTTTCATGATCTCTCTCTACCATGCGTGTGTACTGTATGTGTAGAGATATATGAATTAGGAGATATGGTTAAAATTATGCATATATATATATGATGAATTAAATTTTTTTGCACAAATATATATATATATGCTGTCTTTTATTTTATTTATTTTGGTAATATATACACCATATGCAAAATGCCAAGTTGAAAGTCAACTTAAATCTTGTTTTCCTAAATTTTATGAATGAAATAATTATTTGATTTAGGAAGGATATTTTGGTATTTTAAAATAAGAGTTTGGAGGGTATTTGGACATAAATAATAGTTATTTATACATATGTAATTATTTTACCTAATTCGACAAAATTGAAAAATTAACTTTAAAAATAGACCAATTTGTTATTTAAGGCTACTAAATCTATTAAGTATAATTTTTCCTTACTACTTTAAAATTACGGGAGGCTACTTCACACCAGTGAAGAGACAAATAATGTCTTATGTTAAACTACCATCTGTGTTGCTTATATATATATTACCGGTAATCTCTTCTTATTTAAATGGAAAATAAAGTAATATGTTACAAAAACCTATTAAAAGAACATGCTTTTTTTCCCCAATTTATAAATTATAATGTTGGATAGGGATAGAATACAGTGGGCAATATCCTTGATGGCATGCAATTTGCTTATATATGGTTAATTGTATCATATATATTATGCATAGGTTCATGTTCTACTTCTACCAAGTTTTTCTAAGAATTTTAAATGATATTTAATGTTTTTCTTTCATGTGCTATTTGATAAAATACACACACACACATATATATATTAAGTAATTGTCGATATTATAAAATGGAGATATACGAAAATAATATATTTAAATAAAATGACTTTTTTTATATTCAAAATCACATTTCATACTTATCAACCCAACATTTTGATGATAAAATTATAGTGTTGTTGTACAAACTCTTCACTTATAAATTTAATGTTGAATGATAAATCAAATATAAAGTTTCGATATAAAAAGTCTAATTGGATTATTGTAAAAAAATCCATAATCTACCCAAATAGGGCAATCATTCTTCAGGGTTCTCATTTCATAAAAAAAAAAAAAAAAAAAATGCAAAACACATAAAGACTTGAGGATTATTTGTAATTAAAATAAAAGAAAATCACTTTTTACAAAAAAAAAAAAAAATGAAAGTACTGCATAAAGGGTATTTCAGTTAATAAAGTAATAAAGATAATTGTGTGGTATTTTACTTTTATCTCTCCTCTCCATCTCTCCTCCTTCCGTGCTGTTTTCCCTTCAATTTCTATCTCCTATACATATCACGTATAATATACACACACACGACACTCGTTAGCTTCCGCTGAGTAATTCTATTCCCAGTTCTCTCTCTACGTTTTTCTCTCTCTATATCTATGATCTATAGGCTATCGCCGATCAATACCAAAACCCTTCTTTGAAAACCCTAGAAAACTTGATTATCGGACCTTCTTGGTATCTTCATATCCAGTCCAATTTTGTCTTTGGTCACAGTCTCAATTCTCTACCTTCCGATCTATTTCACTTCGATTCGCTCGAACCTTCAATTATCAATAACAGGTTTTGATTCGATCGATTCTCAGTGGAGGGTCGATCGGTTTCCCGCGTGTCTTTGATTCGTGCAATGGTTTCATTGGGTTGATTTCAAGATGAAGTTAAAGAAAAGGAGGGCATCAGAAGTGGTTAGCGATACGTTTAATTTTGACATATTTGATTATTTCTTTATCGTGCAGTGGATTCTTGAATTGATTTGTAGTGGTTTTATGGTTTATGTATTAATCGATTGTTTATTGTCTGTCACTTTATCATCGAAGTAATTTTCAGTTATGAATGATCAGAAAGTGATTAATCCCAATTTATCTTAGTTTATCTGGTTCAAAGATCGTTTTTTTAAACTGATTTTTCGATAAAATTTGATACTTTGCTATTATAATCTGAATAATAATAATAATTTTTTTTATTATTTATTTTGTTTTTTATGTGCCTTTTTATCTAGGCATTGTCTTTTTTGGTAAATGCAACTGAAGAGTCTTCCAAACAACTGAAAGGTTTTTGTTTGTCATATTACTTCTTCTTATGTTGTTGTTCTCTATTTGTGGTTGTATTTTTTCTTTTAATTTCTTATTTTCTTCACGATATCTTGGTATAAAATAAGGCAAAAATTAGTGTCGTTAAACAGAACTATCTTTCTTTTTATTCGTATTTATCTGGGCTTTATATTGATTGAGAAATTGGTTTAAATCAGTTCAATTGTCAATCCTTTTGATATATAAGGCATTCTCTGGATAGTTTTTTTTATTTTAAATAAGGCATCCTCTGGATAGTTCAATTTGAAGTCACCAGATAACCGACTTGGGCCTATATGATATGACCAATCAATAGGAATATTCCAACTCTACCTTTGTCATATATTTGTTACATCACACTAGATAGATGTCATGATTTGGTTTACTGCAGCTGGAAGAGTTCACTCATGTTGCTGCCTTGGAATTGGAAGAAAGTTAGTTCAAAGCTTGTATTAAATTTCCTCCAATTCCAATTCAAAGGCGCTGATTCGGTGCTCGCAAACAAGCTTCGGGAATTTAACCACCCCTCTCTCCCTTTCCTGAAAAATAAGTGGATTTAAAGTATTTCTAGGATGATAATGCCATCTAATCTTGTGCTATTAGAGTGGACATCTGCAGTGTATGTGCTGCAGTATCATTTTTTCCTCAGTGGTTGGGGAAGTACAGGTATATTGATTTTTTTCCCTCTTCAAATATAGATTTGGTTAGATAGGCATTAGAAAGAATCCTATTTTGGGTATCTTTTTGAGAGGGTAAGGCATTTTGAACCATATATGAGTATTTAATTAGTAGTTTTTAGTAAAACAGAATATTAGTTTGGGATTTTGGTTGATTTTGGAATATGTTCGCCAAATCGCTCAATGAGTGGTAACTGTATTTGTGTTTTGTGGCAAAGGAGCCTTTTCTGTTGAAGTTCAATACTCACGGATTCACTTGCAATTTGTCTGTTGTCATGAAGAATGGGATATAAATATGTGTTATATTTGTCATGGCTACATTATGAAGTTTAGTCAAGCCTAGGACTGAGTCTGGTTTATGGATTTTGTTTCTACTGGGCTGTATGTGTAATTTCTATATTGGGGTTACTTGAGGGTGAATACATTGTAAATTATAAGGCAAGTTACCTGGGAGGTGAGGTTATTTTAGGACACAATTAAGACAAATTTAGTGAAAATTTAATATATCACCATGACAAATTATTGCGAAGTTCTTGGAAAGAATAACTTCCCTCTCCCCCCTCTCTCTCTCACCCAGAGCTTGATTTTGATACCAATTGCTTGTGGTAATTGAGTTTTCCATTCCTGGAATTTGCAAAATCTGCCCTACAACCAGCTTTGCAAGTTGTCGGGCCTTAATACGATCCATCGGATTTAATAGGTTTGTACCCTGGGTGCAGGGGTCAAGGGTTGCCATGGTCTATGGATATGAAGGGTTGACTAAGTTATGTGGTAGGGCAAGGTTGTGCGGACCTTTCTTCGTAGTTCCCCCCCCCCCCCCTTTCTCCCTCATAGGCTTTAGTTTTAGTGCATTAATGCGCTATAAAACCATTTGGATTTTATTTTGGTTGATTATATGCTGGTTGGCACTGACTTTGTTGTGATTTTGCTTGGATTTGTGAGAGAGGCTCTATTGTGGATTGGGTTTTCCAATTTCAGGATATCCTTTTTGGTCCTTGATATGTACTTATATTTGAGAAATAATACTCTATATCAATGGTCCTGCTTATGCCGAGGCTATACATAAAAATTCAAGACCATTCTTCCCTAGCCTGATCCCTTCCATTGTAGTTCATTATTTTGATTACTTTCTGTAAAGTATTGGTCATACACAATTTAACTAGATATCCTTTTTGGTCCTTGATATGTACTTTAGATCTGCCTTTGAGGTTTCTTTGGGTATTACCAAGTGAGCACAATGCCGTCAGGTTCAGTGGTGTGCTTTGCTAGTGTGCCCTAGACCATGAGCACCCTAGCTTGGCAACATAAATTCTTCATTGTTTTGCAAAGAAAATATATGACCAATATAAATAAATGAATATATATATATATATATATATATATATATATATATATATATATATACATATTTTCTGATTGTTAAATAACACACACAAGCATTATTGTCCCATTGGGGACTTGAGCCCTCTACCTTCCATTTGGAAATAATGAAAGGAGAAGGAGATACCACTTGGGCTAAGTCATTAGTGGTATACAAAGAATTTTATTTATATGAGGCCAGTATTATCAAAGGCTGAAGGCGCATTAAAACGCTAGAGGTCCTTTGGAGCCTAGGCGCGAGGCGAGGTGCGCGCCTGAGTGAAGTGAATCGCACTATTGGAAAATTAAATTTCTATTAAAGCATATTAATATTCCATATAAAAAGCACAAATGCTGTTAAAGGCGCACCTGGAGGCTAGACGCGCCTTTAACAACATTGTTAATGAGGGAAATATACAATGCTGAAGGATGATCAATATTTTTGGAAAAGGAAAGGGAGTAACATACTGAATAAAGCACAAAAGTGAGACTAAGTTAACCAACATTCCACCCAAAAAAAATAAATAAAAAAAAAATTAAAGAAAAAGAAAAAGAAAAGGAAAGATCAAGGAAAATATGAATTATTTTTGGTACAAACAGCTAAAGATTCCCATTTTCTTTTAAAAAAAAATAGAGATTGCATCTTGTTAAACTTTCTAGGATCCCATACAATTTTTGCCTAACGTACCCTCTATTTAGGGGACTGTATGGCCACGAACCAAGTGATTCAGCTTTTATTGAACTCATTACCTTCTTCAAATCATCCTCAATAAAGCGAGGATGAAGGTTCAAACAAGAAACTTTTTAGAGTCTTTGGGAAGTCTCTAATTTGTGTCGACCATAAAGCCATACATTACTGAATCAGAGAACAAGAAGAAAGAAGTGGTCGTAGCGGCATCCAGATAGGCACCTTCAGTTTGGAAGTTATCTGAATTAGCCAGGATTATATCAAATTTTGTTTCACTTTCATATGGAACACACTAAATCATGGCCGGCCTCTTTGACTCCGTGGGCATAGATTCAAAGAGAAGAAAAGCAAACAAATCCTACAGTATGCACATACAAGGAAATCCTTTGGCCATCGCATGAAGTGTTTGGTAGTGTGTTTTACATTTATGACATGTCTTAGGTTTTCATTTACTACCTCCATCTACCTTTGTCCGGTAATTTGCTTTAATATGTTTCAGGTTAGTTTATCATATTCACTTACTATTGCTTCCTCTAATTGGTGTTTATGACATGTGTCAAATCTTCACTATCCCTCATCCTTAAACCTATTGGTCTTACAACTAAATGTCGCAAGTGAATTTTTTTTTTTTTATATACATTTTATTATTGAATGGAGTTGTTTTTAATCATCCCAGCATTTTATGCCATAAAAGACACACTATTTTACAGCATTGGTAGAAATGAATTTCAAAGGGCATATTTTGGTCTCACGACTGCTCCTAACTTGTTGTCTTTAATACATCCTCTATGATTGATTTTTGGATAGAGGTCTGATTTTTTCTTTATATTCTGTCACCTGCCTATGATATTCTTCTTTTTGTATTCCTAATTTCGCCAAAATGACACCCTTAAGAGTCTTTTTAGCTGTCTTTTTTTAGTCTAAAAAAAAAACTAATCTAATCATGAAGGATATTTCTTCTGTTATACACTTAGTTTAATATTTGCGCCTATTTTTAAACCCTCCAATATTGTCAATCTAGGTTCAACTTCTATATATCTAGTGTTCTTTTTATCATGTATATGCTACATTCTCAGTTGTAAGGTCTTGCATGCAAATTTGTGATATATGGGTTCTCACTTAGATGCCCAGTCCTTTACTTTTTTAGTGAAAATGCCTTAGTACTAGATGTAAACATCTGATATCGTTTTTCTATTTACCATTTAAGAGTGTTTATCGACTCAGCAGGGATTTTGGTAATAATTGGAGCAGACTATTTTGGGATGTACAAGACAGTTTTGGATGTTACTTGCATGAGCACCTACATACTAATTGGGCCTGTGGTAACCAAAGAGAGAAATCTTTTTGTGATGTACAATTCTGCTGAAGATTGCTTGCATGAATCTGTATTAACTTTTAATCTGATTGTTTTTTCACAATGACGAGGCAACTGAATCTTACAGTAGTTCTTTCTCTATTTTTAAATTTTTTGCCTTGTGTATGCTCATCTTGGTGGCATCATTGAGATGTTCTGGAACAGGTTATGCTTGGAAGTATAGTAATCATCTTCTTGTTGTTTGTGTCTCAGCCTCCAAAAATTAGATCCTTTATCAACGTTGTCACTGCTACTCCACTTGAAAATGTGGAGGAACCCCTGAAAGGTTTTGCTTGGGAGTTTGACAAGGTGCATTTACAACTCTTACCTGACATTAGTTTAGATATTATGCAGTTCAACTGATGCAGATTCGTTTCTGATGCCAGGGGGATTTTCATCATTGGGTCGATCTCTTTAATCATTTCGATACATTCTTTGAGAAGCACATAAAGTCAAGGAAGGATTTGCAGGTTGAGGACAACTTTTTGGAATCTGATCCTCCCTTCCCAAGAGAGGCTGTTCTTCAAATTCTTCGTGTTATAAGGATAATATTGGAGAATTGCACAAATAAACATTTCTACAGTTCTTACGAGGTATCTTCTTCCCCTTAAGATATATATCAATTGCCTTTTCTGATGTATGCTCTCGTTGTATTCTATTCTGCATGTCAGAGTACTTTGTGCTTGTAGCATTTCCTTAATTTCTGTCGATTTTTTTCCTCCAACTACTGTGATGAAAGTCTATATTTTAAAACTTTCTTCTCCTACTATTTCTTTGCCTTTTCTTTATTTATTTTTATTGTGTGGATGCAGCATCATCTTTCATCTTTGCTTGCTTCAACCGATGCGGATGTGGTTGAGGCTTGCCTGCAAACCTTGGCAGCTTTTTTGAAGAAAACAATCGGGAAGTATATTATTAGAGATGCTTCTCTTAATTCAAAGCTATTTGCTTTTGCACAAGGATGGGGGGGAAAGGAGGAAGGCCTTGGATTAATTGCATGTGCAATAGAAAATGGGTCCGAGCCGACTGCTTCTGAGTTAGGTTCCACCCTCCATTTTGAGTTCTATGCAGTGGATGAGACATCAAATGTACACCCAGCCTCTGAACAGTCTTCCGAAGGTTTACAAATCATTCATTTGCCTAATATTAGTACTCGCCAAGAGTCTGATCTTGAACTTTTGAATAAGTTAATTATAGAGTACAAAGTACCCCCTAGTTTAAGGTTTTCTCTTTTGACAAGATTGCGGTTTTCAAGGGCTTTTAGCTCTTTAGCTGCCCGGCAACAGTATACATGCATTCGCTTATATGCCTTTGTAGTGCTTGTTCAAGCATGCGGCGATACTGATGACTTGGTCTCTTTTTTTAACACTGAGCCCGAGTTTATCAATGAATTGGTGTCACTACTGAGCTATGAAGATGAAGTTCCTGAAAAAATACGAATTCTTAGTCTGCTTTCCTTGGTTGCTCTTTGTCAAGATCGATCTCGCCAACCGAGTGTGTTGACTGCTGTAACATCCGGTGGTCACCGTGGTATCCTATCAAGCCTTATGCAGAAGGCCATTGATTCTGTTGTCAATAACTCCTCAAAGTGGTCTGTTGTTTTTGCTGAGGCCTTGTTATCGCTTGTTACTGTTTTGGTTTCATCATCGTCAGGTTGCTTGGCCATGCGCGAAGCGGGATTCATACCAACACTTCTACCTCTACTTAAAGATACAGATCCCCAACACTTGCATTTGGTTAGTACGGCTGTACACGTTCTAGAAGCCTTTATGGATTATAGCAATCCAGCTGCTGCATTGTTTAGAGACTTGGGGGGTCTAGATGACACCATTTCACGCCTGAAGGTAGAAGTGTCTTGTGTCGAAAATGGTTCAAAGCAGCAAATCACTTCTACTGAGCTAGACTTTTCTGATTGTAGCAGCACACAGGTAGTTGCAGGCACTTCCACTGAGCTAGATAATATGCAGCCTCTTTATTCCGAAGCTTTGGTTGCATATCATCGGCGATTGCTGATGAAAGCTTTGCTGCGTGCTATATCTCTCGGAACCTATGCCCCTGGAAGCACCGCTCGTATTTATGGTTCAGAGGAGAGTTTGTTGCCGCATTGCTTATGCAGTATATTTAGAAGGGCCAAAGATTTTGGTGGTGGGGTGTTTTCTCTTGCGGCAACTGTCATGAGCGATCTCATCCATAAAGATCCTACCTGTTTCCCTGTCTTAGAAGCAGCTGGACTTCCATCTGCGTTCATTGATGCTATCATGGATGGTGTTCTTTGCTCTGCAGAAGCCATAATATGCATACCTCAGTGCTTGGATGCATTGTGTCTGAACAATAATGGTCTTCAGGCTGTGAAAGATCGCAATGCTTTGAGGTGTTTTGTGAAAATATTTACTTCCAGAATGTATCTACGTGCTCTTGCTGGTGATACTCCTGGATCCTTGTCTAGTGGTTTGGATGAACTAATGCGCCATGCTTCCTCATTGCGTGGGCCTGGAGTGGACATGCTGATTGAGATTTTGAATTCCATTGCAAAAATTGGAACTGGTGTTGAAGCTTCTTCCTCGTCCACTGATTCTCCAGGTTGTTCAGCTTCTGTTCCCATGGAAACTGATGCTGAGGAGAAGAATTTGGTTTCATCAGATGACAAGGAATCGGGCAAGATTGAGAGTACTGAGCAGCCCATTGAGACATCTTCTGATGCATCATTGGTCAACATTGATTCTTTTCTTCCTGAATGTATAAGCAATGTCTCTCGTCTTCTTGAAACAGTTCTTCAGAATGCTGACACATGCCGGATATTTGTTGAGAAGAAGGGAATTGAAGCTGTTCTGCAGTTTTTTACCTTGCCTCTAATGCCTCTTTTAGTGTCCATTGGTCAGAGTATCTCTGTTGCATTTAAAAATTTCTCCCCCCAGCATTCTGCGTCTCTCGCTAGAGCCGCATGTTCATTCTTGAGAGAGCATTTGAAGGCAACGAACGAACTTTTAGTTTCAGTCGGAGGAACACAGCTTGTTCATCTGGAAGTTACAAAGCAGATGAAGGTCTTGAGGTGTCTTTCTAGCCTTGAAGGTATCATGTCTCTTTCCAATTCATTGTTGAAGGGGTCTTCTACCGTAGTCTCTGAATTGGGCACTGCAGATGCAGATGTATTGAAAGATCTTGGGAGAGTTTACAGGGAAATACTCTGGCAGATTTCTTTGTGTTGTGATCTAAAGGTAGATGAGAAGCGGAATGTTGAACCAGAGCCCGAAAGTGCAGATGCAGCTGTGTCTAATGCTGCTGGAAGAGAGAGTGATGATGATGCAAATATTCCAGTTGTGAGATACTTGAATCCTGTTTCTGTTAGGAATAATTCTCAGTCACATTGGGGTGCAGAACGTGAGTTTCTTTCTGTGGTTCGTTCTGGTGAAGGGTTCAACCGTCGTAGTCGACATGGGTTGACACGCATACGCGGTGGAAGGACAAGCAGGCATCTGGAAGCTTTAAACATAGATTCTGAAGTTCACGTGAATGCACTGGAGACTTCCTCCCAGGATACAAAGAAGAAAAGTCCCGATGCTCTTGTTTTAGATAATCTTAACAAACTTGCTTCCACATTGCGTTCTTTCTTCACGGCTCTTGTGAAAGGGTTCACATTGCCAAACCGTCGTAGAACCGATTCTGGGTCACTGAATTCAGCTTCAAAAAGCATTGGGACTGCCCTGGCTAAAGTTTTTCTGGAGGCTCTTAGTTTCTCAGGTTATTCTACCTCTGCGGGGCTTGATATGTCACCACCATCAGTTAAATGTCGCTATCTTGGGAAGGTTGTGGATGACATGGTTGCACTCACATATGATAGTAGGCGGCGCACCTGTTATACGGCAATGGTTAATCATTTTTATGTCCATGGAACATTCAAGGAGCTACTTACCACATTTGAAGCGACAAGTCAATTGTTATGGACGCTCCCTTGTTCTATTCCAACATCTAGTATCGATCAGGAGAAAACTGGTGAAGGAAGCAAATTGTCTCACAGTTCATGGCTTCTTGATACATTGCAGAGCTATTGCCGTCTGCTTGAGTATTTTGTTAATTCATCTGTTCTTTTATCGCCAGTCTCTGCATCTCAGGCTCAGCTGCTTGTTCAACCTGTTGCTGTGGGTTTGTCAATTGGGTTGTTTCCTGTTCCAAGGGATCCAGAAGCGTTTGTTCGAATGCTGCAAGCACAAGTTCTGGATGTGATTCTTCCTGTCTGGAACAACCCCATGTTTTCGAATTGTAGTCCGAGTTTTATCACTAACATTGTTTCTCTTGTTACTCATGTGTACTCTGGTGTGGGAGATGTGAAGCGAAATCGCAGTGGTATGTCAGGGAGTACAAACCAACGGTTTATTGCTCCCCCACCTGATGAAGGTACTATTGCTACCATTGTGGAGATGGGTTTTACAAGGGCAAGGGCAGAGGAAGCATTGAGGCGGGTGGAAACAAATAGTGTTGAGATGGCCATGGAATGGTTGTTTAGTCATGCTGAAGATCCCGTTCAAGAAGATGATGAATTGGCTCGTGCACTTGCTTTATCATTAGGAAACTCGTCAGAAACATCTAAAGCTGATAGCGTTGACAAATCAATGGATGTCCTGGCAGAAGAGGGACAAGCAAAGGCACCCCCTCTTGATGATATTCTTGCTGCAGTGATGAAATTGTTCCAGAGTACTGACTCAGTGGCGTTTCCATTGACGGATTTGCTTGTGACCCTATGTAATCGGAACAAAGGGGAAGATCGCCTTAGGGTGACTTCTTATCTTATTCAGCAGCTAAAGCTTTGTCCATTGGAGTTTGCAAAGGACACGAGTGCTTTGTGTATGATATCACATATTTTAGCATTGCTTCTTTCTGAAGATGGATGTACACGAGAAATTGCCGCTCAGAATGGTATTGTTTCTATAGCAATAGATATCTTGACAAATTTCAAGGATAGAACTGATTCTGGAAGTGAGGTTCCGGTCCAAAAATGCATTAGCGCTTTACTTCTTATCTTGGATAATTTGTTGCAGTCAAGGCCCAGAGCTTCTTCTGACAGTACAGAAGGTATTTTAGCTGGTTCTTTACCAGTGTCCTCAGAAGAGCATGCTTCATTGTCAGTCTCAGAAGCAGCTACAGAAAGAAAATCAACTTCAGAAGCCCATGAGAAAGAACCTGGAACTTCGTTTGAGAAGATATTTGGAAAATCTACTGGCTATTTGACTATTGAGGAGAGTCAAAGGGTACTGGTTGTTGCTTGTGACTTGATAAAGCAGCATGTCCCGGCCATGGTGATGCAGGCTGTTCTACAGGTCTCTGCTCGTTTGACAAAAACACATTCTCTGGCTCTGCAATTTCTTGAGACTGGAGGTATGGTTGCTCTTTTTAGTCTTCCGAGAAGTTCCTTCTTCGCTGGATATGATACCCTGGCATCTGCTATCATTCGTCATCTCCTTGAAGATCCTCAGACACTGCAAACGGCTATGGAACTGGAGATACGGCAAAGTCTAAGTGGCAATCGTCATGGCGGGCGTGTTTCCCCTCGAACTTTTTTGACGTCAATGGCTCCTGTTGTCTCCAGAGATCCAGGGGTCTTCATGAAAGCTGCAGCTGCTGTATGTCAGTTAGAATCATCAGGAGGGAGGAGTGTCCTTGTGTTATCAAAAGAAAAGGATAAGGATAAGGAGAAATCAAAAGCACCCGGTGTTGAACATGGAGCATCTTCCAATGAATGTGTTCGAATTCCTGAAAATAAGATTCACGATGGTCCTGGTAAGTGTTCCAAAGGCCACAAAAAAATACCTGTGAATCTTACCCAGGTTATTGATCAGCTTCTTGAAATGGTATTGAAATATCCTTCTGCAAAAAGTGAGGAAGATTGCACAAGCTATTTAACTGCAATGGACGTTGATGAACCTACTACCAAGGTAAAGGGTAAATCAAAGGTTGATGAGACACGGAAGATCGAGTCCGACTGCCTATCAGAAAGATCAGCAGGGATAGCTAAAGTGACTTTTGTCCTCAAGTTATTGAGTGATATTCTTTTGATGTATGTGCATGCAGTTGGGGTTCTACTGAGACGAGATTTGGAAATGTGCCAACTCAGGGGATCTAATCAATTAGAATGTCCTGGGCATGGTGGAATACTGCATCATGTTTTACATCGGCTTATTCCCCTATCCACAGATAAAACTGCCGGACCTGATGAATGGAGAGACAAGTTATCTGAAAAAGCTTCTTGGTTTTTGGTTGTTTTGTGTGGTCGTTCTGGTGAAGGGCGTAGACGAGTAATTAATGAACTTGTGAAAGCCCTATCATCATTTTCAAATTTAGAGAGCAATTCTTCCAAGAGCAGTTTATTGCCAGATAAAAAGGTTCTTGTTTTTGTTGACTTGGTATATTCCATTTTGTCAAAAAATTCATCCTCAAGCAATTTACCTGCTTCTGGGTGTTCACCCGACATAGCAAAAAGCATGATCGATGGTGGAATAGTTCAATGTCTAACCAGCATTCTTCAGGTGACCGATTTAGATCATCCTGATGCTCCCAAAGTTGTGAATCTTATACTTAAGGCTTTGGAAAGCCTAACACGGGCTGCAAATGCTAGTGAGCAACTCTTTAAATCAGATGGACTGAACAAGAAAAAATCCATTGTTCCGAATGGGAGGTCGGATGATCAGATTATTACAATGTCGGTCAGTGAGACAGGAGAGCCTAATGAGAATAGGAGCAGTCAACAGGAAGTTACTGATGCAGCTGCTGCTTCTGTGCAACAACAGCACCCAGGAACATCTCGGGATGCAGGTCATCATGATGCAAATCCAAACGAGTCCTTGGAGCAAGACATGAGAATTGAGGTGGAAGAGACGATGAATGCTAATCCACCAATGGAGCTTGGGATGGATCTGATGCATGAAGAAATGGAAGAAGGTGGTGTTTTACACAACACAGACCAAATTGAGATGACTTTCCGTGTTGGGAGTAGGGCAGATGATGATATGGGTGATGAAGATGATGACATGGGGGATGATGGCGAGGATGATGAGGATGATGATGAGGGAGAAGACGAGGATGAGGATATAGCTGAAGATGGGGCTGCTATGATGTCTCTGGCTGATACAGATGTGGAAGACCATGATGATACTGGTTTGGGAGATGAATACAATGATGATATGGTTGACGAGGATGATGATGATTTTCATGAAAATCGTGTCATAGAGGTAAGGTGGAGGGAAGCCCTTGATGGTTTAGATCATTTACAGGTACTTGGGCAACCTGGAGCTTCAAGTGGTCTCATCGATGTTGCAGCTGAACCCTTTGAAGGGGTAAATGTGGATGACCTTTTTGGTCTTCGTAGGCCTTTAGGCTTTGAACGCCGCCGTCAAACCAGTAGGACTTCCTTCGAGCGATCTGTTACAGAAGGAAATGGTCTCCAGCATCCTCTCCTCTTGAGATCATCCCATTCTGGGGATCTGGTTTCAGTGTGGTCTTCAGGCGGGAATGCGTCCAGGGATTTAGAATCCCTTTCTGCTGGAAGCTTCGATGTGGCTCATCAATTCTACATGCTTGATGCTCCCATTCTTCCTTATGATCATGTACCGTCTAATCTATTTGGGGACAGATTGGGTGGTACAGCACCACCACCATTGGCTGATTTTTCTGTAGGTTTGGAGTCATTGCGTTTACCAGGACGAAGAGGTGCAGGTGATGGTCGGTGGACAGATGATGGTCAGCCACAGGCAGGCGGTCTAGCTGCTGCTATCGCGCAGGCAGTAGAGGAACAGTTTTTATCTCAATTACGAAGTGTTGCTCCTGTTAATAGTGCTGCTGAAAGGCTGTCACAAAATTCAGGACTGCCGGAGCAACAACAGTCAGATGCTCCCATAATTAATGATAGTCAACAGGCAGTAGATGGCGTTATTGGTGGTCACCAGACTGAAGGTCAGCTTCATGAGAATGATGACACAGCACATCATGAAATTAATCAGTTGGTTGGAAGCGTTTCATGCCCAGATCAAGTTGATCCAGTGGAGATTGAAGAAACAGGTGAACGCCTGCCGGCACATGAACCTATACCCAATCATACCCGCATGGTAAACGATACACCGAATGGTCTTGATAGCATGGAAATTGGGGAAGAAAATGGCACTGCCAGAGAGCAGGTTGAGACAACGCCGAATTTTGTTGCCTCTCCTATGTACCCTTGTGGTCAGCAACAGTGTGAAAGGGGTTCTGAAGCACTTGCAAGTCTACCTGATGTGGCATTTCAAGATGCGGGTCGTGATAGATCTCCAGCAGCAGATAGCCAGTCTAGTAATCATGCATTGGTAACTTCTGGTTTAGATCTGTCTAATTCAGGCGATTGTCTTGCTTCTTCAGTTCAAGGGGGTGCTGATGTTGACATGAACACTGCGGTCACAGAGGGTAACCAAATTGAGCAACCGCCAGATCCTTCTGAAGTTGGTGTAGATGAACCATCATCAAGGCAGACCACTATGGTTGCTCAAGATGTTAGTCAGACTGATGAAATTGGTCTGAACAATGAGGCTCCTAATGCGAATGGTATAGATCCAACCTTCTTAGAGGCACTTCCTGAGGATCTCCGGGCAGAAGTTCTAGCTTCCCAGCAAGCTCAGTCTGCACAAGCTCCAACTTTTGCACCACCTTCAGCAGAAGATATTGATCCCGAGTTTTTAGCAGCTCTTCCTCCAGATATTCAAGCAGAGGTTTTGGCTCAACAACGAGCGCAGAGGGTTGCGCAGCAGGCTGAAGGGCAACCTGTTGATATGGACAATGCGTCAATTATAGCAACATTTCCTGCTGATTTGCGTGAAGAGGTTTGCATCTTGAGTTCTGTTACTCATATCTAGCTGAATTGTAATAACTTCTTTTCTGTTACTCCAATTTCAGGTGCTTTTGACTTCTTCAGAAGCAGTTCTATCAGCTCTGCCCTCTCCATTACTTGCTGAAGCGCAAATGCTCAGGGATAGAGCAATGAGTCATTATCAGGCTCGCAGCCTTTTTGGAAGTAGCCACAGGCTTAATAATAGGAGAAATGTTTTGGGGTTTGACAGACAGACGGTGATGGATAGAGGAGTTGGTGCTACAATTGGCAGAAGGGCATCTTCTGCTCTTGCAGATAGCTTGAAATTGAAGGAAATGGAGGGGGAGCCACTTTTGGATGCAAATGCTTTGAAAGCATTGATCCGCCTCCTAAGATTAGCACAGGTAATGCATATTCCATCTAATGTTGATTGGTGAAAGTGGTGGCCTAAGTCAGGAAGTGTTTGCTTTCTTTACCCGCCAATCAGTTGTAAATGGTTATGGAAAATATTAAATATGTAAACAGATGGCTGGAGAATATGCATTTTAGCCATCTTCTAATTACGTCAAATTTTGTGGGGAGTTCCTACAAATTTTCAAATCATTGAATTGCTGACAATGTCAGAAAATTTCAATTGGCTATAAATTAAAAGGAAATCTCTATCTTTTTTTGAACATTTTACAAAAAAAATAAAATAAAAAAAATTGATGGTTCACTTTAAATTTCTTTTGGTATGTGTTGTTTACTTTACTTGATTGTCTTTTTTTTTTTTTTTTTTTTTTTTTTTTGCTGTTAAGCCTCTTGGCAAAGGCCTTCTGCAGAGACTTCTGTTGAACTTATGTGCACATAGTGTTACGAGATTAATTCTAGTTCGTCTTCTGCTCGATATGATCAAGCCTGAGACAGAATGCCCAATCAGTGGATTTAAGATGATTAATTCGCAGAGGCTTTACGGTTGTCAATCCAATGTTGTTTATGGCCGATCTCAATTGTTTGATGGTATGGTTTTCTTCCAATGCAAAAAGATTTATTTCTGTGCTTTCATATTTTATCAATTATTGATTTTTCCTACAATTTTGTTCCTTTACAGGTCTTCCACCCCTTGTTTTACGTCGGATTCTTGAAATTCTTACTTTTTTGGCCACCAATCATTCTACGGTTGCCAATATGTTGTTTCACTTTGATCCTGCACTAGTTCCAGAGTCTTCAAGTTCAAAATATTTAGAAATAAAAAAAGACAAAGGAAAGGAAAAAATTGTGGAAGGAGATCTATCAAACCCTTCTGCATGCTCACAGGGAGGGGATGTTCCTTTGATACTGTTACTGAGGCTCTTGAGTCAACCACTCATCTTACGGAGCATAGCTCATCTTGAGCAGGTATGAGCGATCTCCTTCTGAAATTGGAGCCATCTTTCAGCCACATGTTTGGTTGCATTATTGTTCTTTTAGTTATTTATATATTTTTATGGCGCAGGTCATGGGTCTACTTCAAGTAGTTGTCTATATTGCATCATCAAAGGTAGTCTCTCAGTCACATTCTGAACAGGCAGCCGCCAGTTCCCAAAATCTGTCTGGCAACGAAGCTGCTAGTGATGTTCAGAAGGATACTCCTTTGTCAGAAATGGAAACTAATCAAGATGATAAAAGTGCGAGTGCTGAGATTTCAACATCAGATGGAAAGGGTAGCAACTTGTATAATATCTTTTTGCAGCTCCCGCAATCTGATTTGCGCAACTTGTGCAGACTACTTGGTCATGAGGGGTACAATTATGCTTTAATTCTTACTTTGAAAGTTGCATAATATTCTGTATTATTTGTCTTCTCAAAATTTTTGGAAGCTAATTGCTTGTCAATCCATCTTTATAATTAACTTTATTTACACATTTGAATCTTATAATCAGTATTCCCTCTACCTATATATATATATATATACGTATATATGTTTTACCTTCTTTTTTGCTTCTGCAAGGACAGGTGTTTAACCTTATTTATCTATTCATTAGGCTTTCAGACAAAGTTTACTCACATGCCGGCGAGGTGCTGAAGAAGTTGGCCATGGTAGCTGCTCCCCATTTAAAATTTTTTATTTCGGAGCTTTCAGATTTAGCTCATAGTTTGAGCAGTTCAGCTGTCAATGAACTTGTTACACTGAGGAATACACACATGCTAGGTTTGAGTGCTGGATCCATGGCTGGGGCCGCTATCCTTCGTGTGTTACAGACACTTAGCTCTCTTACTTCATCTAGTATTGATGGGTACAAGGGTCTGGAGAGTGACAGGGAACAGGATGAGCATGCCACTATGTGGAAGTTAAATGTCGCACTTGAGCCGTTGTGGAAAGAATTGAGTGACTGTATAAGCACGACAGAGACAGAGCTTGCTCAGAGCTCTTTCTCTTCAGTTATGTCAAATGTAAATGTGGGGGAACATGTACAGGGGCCATCATCTCTTTCTCCGCCTCTTCCACCTGGGACTCAGAGAATCTTACCATTTATTGAGGCTTTCTTTGTTTTGTGTGAAAAACTACAGGCGAATAATTTTAACATGCAGCAAGATCATGCCAACATAATTGCAAGTGATGTCAAAGAGTTTGATGGGACTTCCGTTCCATTATTCATGAAAAATGTAGTGGATTCTCAGAGAAGGCCTGATGGTGCTGTCACATTTGTGAAGTTTGCTGAGAAGCATCGCCGGCTTCTTAATGCTTTTGTCAGGCAGAATCCTGGTTTGTTGGAGAAATCACTTTCTATGATGCTGAAGGCGCCAAGGTTGATTGATTTTGACAACAAAAGAGCTTATTTCCGCTCGAGAATTAGGCAGCAGCATGAGCAACACCTCTCTGGCCCACTGCGGATAAATGTTCGGCGGGCATATGTTCTAGAGGATTCATATAATCAATTGCGGATGAGACCTAATCAGGACCTGAAGGGAAGATTAAATGTACATTTTCAAGGTGAAGAGGGTATAGATGCTGGTGGTTTGACAAGGGAGTGGTATCAACTGCTGTCAAGGGTCATTTTTGACAAGGGAGCTTTGCTTTTCACTACTGTGGGTAACAATGCGACTTTCCAACCAAACCCCAATTCTGTCTACCAGACTGAACATCTTTCTTACTTCAGATTCGTGGGTCGCGTGGTAAAGTTTATTGTTTTATTTTAACTTTTTCTATTCAAAGTTCTTAGTTTATAATTAATTTTTAAGTATTTGTAATGCAATTTGTTTTATAGATTTTAAAAGCTTGGATCCTCTTTTTATATGTTTTATTTTTTATTTTATTACTTTTAAATGTTTGTTGTTCAATCCCTTCTATAGGTTGGTAAGGCGCTGTTCGATGGGCAACTATTGGATGTTTATTTTACTCGGTCCTTCTACAAGCACATTCTTGGTGTGAAAGTGACTTATCATGATATAGAGGCTGTTGATCCTGATTACTACAAAAATTTGAAGTGGATGCTGGAGGTTTGTGTCTTTGGCATATATGGTCCCTTCTATACTTTTATCCACACATTTTTTTGAGGAGTAATTCTTTGTCTTTTTTGTCTTTTTCCCTTATCAGAATGATGTGAGCGACATACCTGATCTGACATTTAGCATGGATGCGGATGAGGAAAAGCACATCCTCTATGAGAAGGTTACATGCTAACTTTTGCAATGAACCCTGCCGATTGTCAGATGATTTAGTACCTATCAATTTACTTCAGTTCAAAGAGCTGCATAATTTGAACTCAAATCCCCTTCCCCACCCTTTCAACCATAAAAAATGAAATGTCTCTCTGTTTATCTATGTAACATCTAACATCATACTCATTCTTCCAATTGTACTTCTAAAAGGTTACTGATTTTGAGCTTAAACCTGGAGGAAGAAACATAAGGGTCACAGAAGAAACAAAGCACGAGTATGTGGACCTTGTTGCTGATCATAATCTCACAAATGCCATCCGCCCTCAAATTAATTCCTTCCTAGAAGGTTTCAATGAACTGGTGCCACGGGAACTTATCTCTATTTTCAATGATAAGGAGCTTGAGCTACTAATAAGTGGGCTTCCAGAAATCGACTGTGAGTGAGCTTACCTTTTCAATTTATAGGATGTGTGCAATATTTTTGTGCTTTTTAAAAATATCCATGTGATGTTATTGTCCTTGCAGTGGATGATTTGAAGGCCAACACTGAGTATACTGGCTACACGGCAGCATCTAGTGTTGTTCAATGGTTTTGGGAAGTTGTCAAAGCTTTTAACAAGGAGGATATGGCAAGATTGCTGCAATTTGTAACCGGCACATCAAAGGTATTTTGATGCATCATTTAAAATATTCCACCTAAAAACCATGTTTTCTAAAAATTGATATGTATGACTGGGATTTTGTGGGACCCCCCCCCCCCCCAACACACAAAGTAGATAGTTCATGAGTGCCTTATATAAGACTCGATTCCAAATATGCAAAGGTTTAGTTTGTTTGAAAGCATGTGCAGGGGTGCTAACATTTTTTGTTACTCAATTTCTTTCCATTCCACTGACAAGGCTCTATGTTTCTACTTTCGATTATACCAGTAGTGTTCTACTATTGAAGGTTGATATACAGAGCCTTGAGATTGATGTTTCTTTTTATCGTCGATCATTCCCGTCCTTTGCAACTAAACATCTGTGATTTTTGGTTTCTTAGGTTCCTTTGGAGGGTTTTAAGGCATTGCAAGGAATTTCTGGTCCTCAGAGGTTTCAGATTCACAAAGCATATGGGGCCCCCGAGCGGCTGCCATCGGCTCATACCTGGTCCGTGGTTTACTCAATTTCTATAGTGCTAAGAGTATGGATTGTACTTTTTTCTAGCAGCCAGATGGTTGCCTAGAATTGCGAAGTTAGCCCTGATGTATTATTTTTTATTTTTCTATTTTCCAGCTTCAATCAACTAGACCTTCCTGAGTATACTTCCAAAGACCAGCTTCAAGAGCGCTTGCTACTTGCTATCCATGAAGCTAGTGAAGGGTTTGGCTTTGGTTGAAGAAAACTTCTTTAATCATATTATTACCTCAGCGCTGCCAGCACCAGTATTTCCAAATGCCATTTGCATGTTAGTTTATACCTTCTGCTTTTATTTAATATCATATTTTAGTGTTCAGTGCAGTAGTTTCTAGATCAATAGGCATATATATTGCGTCTCATGTAGATTTTGAACATGCTTCTAATTTGATATGGGAACTTAAAAAGAATAACCTAAGAAACAAAAATGAGGTTTGTCTATTGGAAAATAATTGTACTTCTGTTCCATATTGTGTACACAAGGTTTGTTTAAATGCTACCAAGTGACTGAGTGGACTTGTTTGAATGCTTAGGAAAACTGTGGATTCATTGTTATCTTAATTAAAATTTCCTTTCAATCATACCTAGATGATGCAAGCATTATTTGTTTTAAAATGCTAAGAAAAGTTTGTGTATCCATTTTTTTTTTTTTTTGAAGTAATGGTCTCGGGCACAAATTTATGTTGTCTGAGTATGTCTTTGAAAATGTGTACCGTTCTATGAACTACGGAAATTAAAAATATGTGACGTTAATTTTATTTATTTTTTCCCCTTTTCTTGGGAGTAACATTCTGGACTCATTGTGCATTATTGATTTGTTCTTTTTCAACTGTGTCTTTGATAACAGTATGTCATTTTTAAACATACTCACCTGGAAATTTAACTAAAGAAAATTGAGAATATGATGGTAGTTATATGGTGTGTTTATTTTTGTTTTCTAGAAAGTAAAACTATGGGCTCATTGTGCATATATGATTTGTTCCTTCACAATTTTTAGTGCTAGCACATTGTGTGTGTAAAAATTTCCAAATAGTGGCACTGAAGAGGACATCCTTTTGATTTTATTCTAAATGGGACTGAACAATAAACTTAATGAATCTTCATTCATATGTTTTAATTTGTTTATAATTATTATATAAAATAAGATGGAAGAAATTAGCTTAATGTATTGTTAATTTGTGTAAATTAGAGTAATTTGGTTAAAAACCATGAACCAAGTTTGTTATATGTAGATTGTAGTGACCATTACCCAAGGCTCTGTTATGTAGTGAGCGGTGAATTAGATCTTGAGTGGGGTGAATATGTCTTATAGATATCAACTTTATATTTCAATTATTTGTTAAGTAGTTATGCTGATTGTGATTTAAATTTTTGTTTATATCCATTAATTTTTTATTTCAACCATAACATACATTGCCATGCATCCATCCATAAAAAAAAGGTAAAGTAAGAGCAGTGACACCAATTTTTTAAAGTAGAAAACTGTTTAGGGAAAAGTCATGGGACCTAGTCCAACTAATAACAATCCACTATATGAGAAATAAGTTACAACAAGGTCAGTAGGTCTCAACCCCTAGTTCCCTCTTGACATAGACTGATGCCTAACTCTTCAGTCTCCACCAAGTCTCCAGTCTCAAATGGTTGTCCCTCCTTCTACTGAAAAATCAAATCGATTGAGTTGAATAAAAACCTCTTTTTTTGTACCTTGTTCTTCTCTCAATATGTTTCTCTCATTATGTTGATGAAATCTTCCTTGATGAATACTTGACCACATATGATGTTGTCCAAGGAAATCCTAAGTTGAGTAATTTTAAATTTTACAAGGATTTTTTCACTCTGGATAATTAGAGGCTTAAAATCATACTCTAGATTGACTATAATCCTATTTATAACAATTATAGGTAATCCGTACGTTTTGTTTAGTTAAATCATTGTAGAAATCTGTTTTGAAAGTTTGTTAAAAAATTACATTTTGCAGTGTCACCTAATGGTCGAGCTTCGATCGATTGACGCTTTAATCGAGGATCGATCGATTCTCTTAGGTTTTCACCCTTCACCTTCGACATTCAGTTGGTCCATGACCTTTCTTGATGGATGAAGCCATCAATCTATTGTTATCCGTTTTTCAGCAAACATTCATACTATTTTACGATTTGGGTGATGACCCTACTGCTAGAGGCTGCTTGTTGGTTCTTGTTGACATGTGATTATGAATGTATTGTCAGTTAGTCATTTATACTGTTTGTTGTTGGATAAAAAAATTGTATTTAGAAGAATGAAACATTAAGGAGATACGAGAAATCAAAATTTTCTTTTCTTAGGATCTGCTTTAAGAGCGAGCAAAACAAGAGGGGCTTTCTTAAGGACTATGTTCCATCCCTATGGACGTTTGGTGGAGGTGTTTACGAGATGAGGTTGTGTTTTGGCTAACAAAATTGTTTGTTAAGATCATAGTGAATAAGAAAATGCATGATGAGTGGTGCATAAATATTCTATTATATATGTATAAAATTAGAAAGAGGTTTGAGGCCTAGTTTGGTACACAGAATTCTTGTTCACCACCACCACCACAACAGCCATCACTGCCTTCCACCGCTGCCACCACCTTCTGTCTCCGGCGCGCCACCTTCCACTGCCACCACTGTTGCCACTGCCTTCCGCTGCCACCTTCCACCTTCCGCTGTTGCCTCAGCTGCCACCGCCACCGCCGCCTTCACCTTCCACCTTCCGCCGCCACCATTGCCACCGGTGCACTGCCTTCCGCTGTTGCTTCCGCCAGTGCTTTCCACCGCCTTCCACCACTGTCGCCTTGCACCACCACCACTTAGAATGGTGATTATCATTTCATTCCTACATCATTTCATATTTGCAACCAAATAATAGAATGAGAATGACCATTCCATTCCATTCTCATTCCACTTCATTCCTGCCCACAAAACTAGGCCTGAAGGTGGTGCAAGTTCTCTCGGTATAAGATGAATGAGAAATGATTGGGCACTAAGACATAAATTACATTGGAAAATCAATTTGGATTTTATTACAAAGGGATCAACAATGAGAGTTATTTACTTACTGGTGAGGTGTTTTTTAGAATTTGAAGAAAGCTCGCGAGGGGTCTGCAGAGACAATATTGTGGTTTTATCTAAGAGAAAGAGTGATAAATAGATATATTGGCATGATGAAGACATGTATGAATTGAAATTGTAAGAAAAAAATGTAATAGAAATAATTGAGTTCTTGATTATCTTAGAATATTGGCTCAATACTTGAGTTATAAATTGAGTTAATAATTGAGTTTTATATATTGGTTCTTGATTACACACCCCTCTTATGGGGATGACATAATTACACTGATTTCATTTATTGTTTGAATAATTGCATTGACCTTTCCTGGTAAACATAGTCTTATGATAGATTTCCTTCCATTAAAGGTCCATAGCAGTCAACAAATAATTTCTGTTGGGATTAACATTTTGAAATTTCAAAATACCAATTTTGCCCGTGATGCATGCCAATTATCCTTAGTAAGGCACTTGAAATTAGGACATGTAAATGCATATATAGAAAAACATGTATGTTCATTTGAAAATCCCTAATTAATAATGGATTAACGACTATTTTTACAATCTTAGTTTACGATTCATGCCCTGTTCATCTGTTCCTGTACTCTCTTTTTTTTATAGAGAGTTGGCCCAATTTCATCCTCATCCTCCTTGCCTCTCCCATACGAATGGGGTCGGTCACATTATTATTATTATTATTATTTCATTCTATCCTATTATATACCACTTCTCCTAGTATTTATCCTTTAATATATATGTATATATATATATATATATATCTTTTAAAAATAATTTTTAATTACTTAATGTAATGTAAATTTTGGTTGGTCTCTTTGTTGTTTACGTTCTAAGCGGACAACATTTATTAGACTTGCTTGTTCAGCCATGATTTCATTGGGGATGGGTTGCCCTGGCCTGTTATCACAAATATCAACACAGTTGATAGTGACGTTTAGTTTGTTAAATAAAAGTTGGAAAAGAAACTGTAGCAGAATTATTGACCATTATTTTCTTTATGGGGAGAAAGTGAATATTTGGATGGGATCCTACACCCAAGACTTTTTTATAGTGTACTTTGTAATCATGTAATTTTTCTCCTTTTCTTTGATTTTACCTTATATGTCCAAGTTTTTCTATATGAGAATGGTGACTCTTACAGTTTAGTTGCATTAACGCAATCAATATAGACTTTTTGTGCTATTTATTGTGTAAAATTATTTTTGTTATTTTTGTCCCGCAGCAATTGAAGTTTATTCAGCAACTCTCTGCTTTTAACATGCGTGACTTGTGTTTCTTTTATCTCGTGTCTGTTATTTTGCTGATTATTTTACAGGTTCAGAAGCTGTCAGTGTGATGAAATATAATGTTTTCTTAAGTTTATCTGTTCCATCTGGATGGCAGTATAATTTTTGACTAATGATTCACATTTCTGAACAGTTAGAAATTAAAATTTTGATTAGTTAAATTCATAAATACAAGTATTCCTCGAGCGCTAGAGATCAACAACCTGATTTCTTTGTTGTCACTATTTTAACTAGTAAGGCGATAAGTTTTTTGTTTTTAACATTTGTTATTAATTCACTTTGCAGATAAAGAGCGATTGATTCAGGCCTTCTAGTCGGTGTCATGGTTTTTTGAGGGGAGAACGGTGCTGGGAATGGAGTATAACAACTGAAATCCATGCAAGGATCGCCATGCCACTAGGGCTTCGCCTAAATTTCAGATGATATTTAATGCATTCAAAGAAATGGCGGGTTCATTGCCATCAATGGCGGTTGTAGAGACGACTGAGTCCTTATTAGTATCTTCCCTCATTACAGATAATCCAGGGTATACAAGCTCCAGATAGTGTAGCCCTTTTGTATATCATAGTTTTTAGTTTATATTGTTCTTTATATTATTTATTATGTCTAGTGCCAATCTGGTTTTGGATCGGTTTCTGCTATCTGAAACTTCATTCGTATTAAAGTTGGTATTTAAGTTTGTAGATGCTGTTGGCACATGATGAAATCATCCGAGTTTTCGCTGCCATGTTTATGGAGTTGTAGTTCAATGTTTAAATGCTGCAGTGATGTTGATATAAGCAAAATTAGTATCTGAACATGTGTGTGTGTGTGTGTGTGAGAGAGAGAGAGAGAGAGAGAGAGGGAGTTGTCTATTGAAAATAAAGCTTTGTAGCACGAAACAGTTTGTGGAAGGGGTTGTCCCCGCGCATTGGAGTTAAACCCTAGCTTGTCTTATGGGCCTGCCATGGATGACCCCAGTTTAGGACATAAGTTTTAAGTGGGTTGTTATGGAGGGCACCAAGTGAATGGTGTGTCAATCAACCCTAGCAACTTGCAGCTCACAGTGGAGACATTTGGCTGACTGAATATGACAATCTTGTTATATGTTCCCCTCGATTGACTTTGTAATGTTTATAGTCTCTGATCATGATTATTTCACTCAGTATCAGAACACTCGCTCTGAATAAATTACTAAGTATGAAGTTAGGTCTTATGCCCTTAATTGAGAGTCAGATGGGACGACTCTTGTTGAGTTTGGAAACATCAAATCGAAAATTTTGAGCCAAATCTTATTCATTTTGAATTGGCGCCAATTAGGTGCTTCTCAAACTAATTTTAGACTCTTAGGCGGATTAGGAAAAATTTTGGTTCAATTTTTTGACTTGGTTGTTTTCAATTTCAATTCTAAAGCAGCAATTTCATGCCAAACATAATCATAATATAATCATAATGATATTTAAGGTGTACTTGCATGCTTGATGCTTTTCACTTCTAAAATCAAAATTTACCTTACTCAAATTTTTAATTATTTTCTCTCTCAGCAATTCGAATTTGGTATCCTTATCCTTAGAACATTCTATTTAATCATTCCAATATACCGATTAGTGAAAAATGTAAAAGTGTTCTCTTTGTTTCAAACGTCAATATCTACCTTACCTTCTGTTTCATAACAGATTTTTCTTAATCAACTATTTTGCTTTTAACCTCTGAAATGACAACAAATATTTCAAGACAAAATAATAAAAAAGTTACTGACCCGGTAGGAGGGATTTGTGGTAGAGTGCGAAACTCCTGAATTGGTGTCTTCGTATTCGAGTCACAAAATATATATATATAGGAGAATAGAAATGGTATATCAACAAATTTCCGTCAAAACAGTGTAACGAAAAACACCGTTCCGTTATTGTTGGGGTCAACACCCAATATTCTCTGGGTTCACATGTCAAGGGTGGGGACATTAGATATTATGCTCTTATATAAAAGCAGATACTTTGATAATAGTTTTTTAACTGGGTGTACACACAGCTTTGCACCCATATATATATAGACCGGCCGCTTTCTCCTACTGCTGTGTGGTCATTTTCTGCCCAGAGGAAGAATCTCTACTGTGAATTCATGTCGGTATGTGGACGAATTTCTCTCTCTAGTAACCCTAAATTGTTAATTGCATCTGATTATTTTGATATCAACTTCATCTTTTGGTCATTCTCTAGCTTGTTGACGATGATGATGATGATTATGATGATGATGATGTAGTAGTATATAATTGATTGTGTTCTCCTATATATTTTCATCTTATGCATGGTGTAGCTTTCTCGATCTGATTTTGCTGTCTCTAGATATTTTGATTCCATCGTTTAGGTGTTTTGGATTTGGGTTAGCTCAATTTGAGCTGCAAGGGTTTTCAAATGTTCTCTGTGTGTTGTCAATGTTAAGCTGGTTTATGTCTAATTATTCTTTGTAATTCTATTTGCGTATATATAGTTGAATTGAATAAGTTTTGCAACTGAAACCTGGTTTTGCTCCTCTATAGGGTGAAGTTGGGGCTAATTGGTTTGTTTTTCTCTTCTTTTGGAGTTGCATATATTGTTGCGTATTTTTCATCAATTATTTCCCTAATATGTTAAGTCTTTTTAGTTCATATTTGGTAAAATATATATTTTTCCTTGCTGTATTATGTAAGCTAAAACTGATAGTTTGTTCAATTGCATTATTTATGTTGTGTAAAAATTTGGTGAATAATTTTATAATCTGATTTCTTTTGCATAATTCGAGTTTGTTACTCAGTGGGGGGAGATCATATTATATTGGTCAAAGTATTTTATATTGTGTTGCTTTTAAAATTGTTGGCCTATTCACTGAATAATTTTATTATCTGATTTCTTTTGCGCTATTTGAGTTTATTAGTCAGTTGGGGAGATCATATTGTATTGGTCAGCTTTGATAAGAATGTTTGAGACCTGACAATTGAATAGACTCATGGAGAATTCCATCAAATGGATATTATGTCCTATCTCAATTTTGAAATTACATGTTTGTGTAACAGGATGTGTTTTTTGTTGTCCAATTATCTTCTGATTTGCAATATGGATTTTGAACACCATACATTAACTTTAGCTGCCACAAGAAGCTGATGATGGAGAGGAGCTTGGTTGACGATTGTATAACTCTCTATGACTTGTCAAAACAAATGAAAAGAAACTGATTATATAAGCCTTAAAACCTCAATTTCTTTGATTGGGTTTAGACTAGTTGACTTCTGGTGATTCTATTTTCTGTCCTTCCCTTTTCTGAACATGTAAGGTTGTTGCTGGGTGCCTGACTTTACATTGATTTTCAATGTATAATCTAGGGGCAATGTCATGTAAAAATTTTAGTATGTGATCATTCATTTCTAAATGAAGGTAAAAGCTTTATACATAATACATAAGTTACTGCTTCATTTCTCCTGTTTGTATAATCCCTGTCTGCTTTGGTTTAAAGCTACCCTGCCTTTCACTCACTATGTGGGGTGCGGAAAATTATTAGTAGAGAGCCACTAGTGCTTTGGTTTAAAGTTATTTTCTTTGTTAGTTATCCGGAAGAAAAAGAAGAAGAAGATATTTTCTTTGTTGAAAATATCTTATCCCCATTTTTTGGTACAATGTTGGGGGGAAAAATTAGTGGAGAGAAAAAAAGAAAGAATTGATACATTAAGACTCCATTTGGATCAAAGGATTTTGAATGAATGGATTTAGCTTCAATTATCAAAGAAGTATAGTTTAAATGAAGATTTAAGTTTTGAAAACATGTGTGAATTAGTGAGATGGAAATTCTGTTTAACAAACCTTCGGAATCTTACCAAAGGCTGAGCCTAGTGGTATTTCCTCTACCTCCTAAAGTGGCATGTCCAGGGCTCAAGTCCCATTAGGGAAACAAGTGGGTGTGTGAGTTTCTTGCCAAGGGGAAAAAAAAAAAAAACCTTCAGAATATTTATATGGGTTTTTGTATTGAGTATTCATTCTTCTTTTATCTGACAGGAAAAGGGACAACCGTTACCAAAGTTTGGTGAATGGGATGTCAATGACCCTGCTTCTGCTGAGGGATTTACTGTAATATTTAACAAGGCCAGGGATGAGAAAAAAACGGGTGGCCAACCTGAGTCACCAGGAAAGGCGGATCCTAATTTTAAGCATGGAGTGGATAATGTCAAGCCTCAGACTGTAAGTAGTTTGATTATTCACCGTTGCACTTCCGCTTTTCCATAATTGAAAAAATTTCTGAGGCTGTCAATTGCCATGTTTACTTGGCCTTCTGTATCAGTTTGCATTATGCTAGGTTCTTTTCCTTATATCTATGATGGTAGCAGTATCTAAAGAAGTATCGCTGCATTTGTCTATCCCGGCCTGGAGGATACCAGATACTCTTCCTCAGAAGTAAACTAGTAAGATGGTCCCAATCCATACTTTCTGTGACGATAGTTAGGAGTCACTGGTGCAAGATGACAAACTACAAAGCAAACGAATGGTCAATTTGCAGTCTAATTACTTAGGAAGTGACAAATGTTAGTGTCTGTGCATTGAAATCTTCCTTTCAGGTGCAATTTTATGGCTGATTCTATAAACTGGCTTTGGTAAGGGAAAATTTTTAGTTTCCTGAGCTATGATTGATTAATGTCTAATAATAGTAAATTAACTTTCCCAATCACCCGAATACAGAAATTGCATCGGAATTCAATTGGTTGGCTGTCATTTTTCCCTTGTGTTTTTCTTGAGCCTATTAATTTACCGTCTTTTGATGTGGAGTATGTACTTATTTGCAGAAAAAATGGTTTTGCTGCATGCAAATACCACCTGCAGAATCTTGACAGCGCCCTCCCTATGTAGGAGCTTTAGTAGATGAGCATGTTATTCTCCTTAAGATGGGAGCTTTAGACCAGTGATGGAAGCTGCTGCATCCAGTTTGTGTGCTGTAAAACTTCATCCGTTCGTGAAAGTGTAAAGATGAAAGAAAAACAAACTTTATTGTATCTATATATATTGGTTTGATTAGTATTTGAAGCTAAGCTTTTTGTTTGTCTCAACATGGGCTGAAGCGTTTGTCCATGGTACTTTGTTGAACCATCATTTGTCATATATGATTACCGGAGTGGTTTTGGTTTACCTGTGTGCTTTTGTTGGCTATGACTACTGATCTTGACTTCTCTTTTGGTTATTCATAAATCCTTGGGAAAAATATAGGTTGAACTATAGTATTTTTTTGGTTGTTGGATGGAATCAGGATTGTAATGCATTTAGGCGCTCATATTTTGACTAGGCTAGGTCAACTGAAGTTTTGCTATGTTACAGCTTTACAAGATGCAAATTGCAAAGCATATATAGTTGTTCTTGCCATTTTATGATGATTCATGCTGCTAGAACAATGTCCTCTAAGAGGGTAAAAAAAATAGATTAGGTTATGCAAGAATGACATAGTTTTGGTATCAAGATTAGGGATGGCAATTTGCCTCGCCTCCGCGGATACTCGGCCTGTGCCCACTCTCTGTTTTTGGCAGTTTTGGGAGACTGTTTAAGCTTATTTGGGCGGAGATGGTTTGATGTAATGAAAACCCGCACGGGTTCGGTGCGGGGGCAGGGGGAGGTCGCCCCGCCCCTCCCCGCCCTGTTTAGATAGGTAAATCATTTAAGTATTCTTATTTCATTAGATAGGTAAACGGAGAACAATGTAATTTGGCTTGTTTTGTTTTTCCTCCCGCCTCGTCCCGTTTAAATAGGTAAATTACTTAAGTACCCTTATTTCATTAGATAAGTAAACGGAGAACAATGTAATTTGGCTTGTTTGGTTTTGGTATGTTAATACTTTTGTTAAATTGTTATTAGAGAATGTATTTAATGTTGAATTTTATGTTAAACTATTTATCATCCATTTTTTTTAATGAATCTTTTCAATAATTATATAATTTTAGTTGATACAAAAAGTAAATATGGAGGAGAATTTATGATCTTAAACGGGGCAAGGTGGGTACCTGCGGGGATAAAGATTTTAAATGGGGGCGGGGATGGGGTTGAAAGTCCCCTCGTTTTGCGGTTTTGGGGGTGGTGTTTTTAAGCGATTGCAGGAGTGGGGGAGGGTACACCCGCCCAAACCCTCCCCCCGTTGCCATCCCTACTCTACATCTTGAATTAAGATGCAGGGTAAATAATTTTTCATGATAATCTAATCTTACCACCAAATTTTGTATAATTTTGAAGTGCCTTGACAAGCTGAAACAACTAAAATTGTAGTGATCGATAAAAAAGAATACACCACTTTATGAAATCAAATTAAACTTCATGGATCCTAAAATATGGAATCTTCTTTTAATCCACAGAATCAAATGGTGTGATTGAATAAATCCTCCTTGATTTACATGGAAATTGAAAATTACATAGAAGGGGAGGGGGGTTACATTTGTAAAGAAAAAAATGGAAAATTAATATTACACCCTATATATTTCTTGTTACTTCTATTCATTGAAAGTTGTGAAGTTTACAATGTGAATGTCCAAAGCAATTTAATATAAGAATGCAAAACAAGTACAAACAAATACAGCTAACACAACTGACTTGAATGTGACAGAGTAGGGCATTTTGCCTCTGTCCTTCCTAAGAAAAAGAGCTTGGTACAAAGGCAGATTGATTAAAACCAGAAGTCCACACAGAAGAATCTGCAGAGCCATAGTCTCATAAAAAACAGTCCCCGCATCTGTGACCACCATTTTCACCAACCAAACAAAGCAAATCAAATTGAGCATGGCAACCAATCCTAAAATGTTGAACATGGTGGAAGAGGCTCCGAACTCCATGGTCTCTTGCTCGTATCTCCGGGAAGTGTCGTCATCGGTCACTTTGGTTGAGATCACAAATGCTAAATCAGAGAACCCAATGAACCCCAAAATGGTGTCAAGCAAGGCGAAGAAGTAGGAGGTGGTTCTCTTGTAGAGCCATATGCGTTGGTCGTTCCACCAACCCAGGGCAGTGCCACCAGAATAAAGAAACTCAGCGAAGCTGCAACTGTACTTGGCAACTATCACATATGCAAATGGTAGAAACCATGGGCTTGATATCTGAACCAGAAAAACAGAATCAGTTTGTCATATCATCTCAAGGAATTAATTTGATGACATATATGATCAATGGATGAGGAGCTGTCAGTTGCGACTGTAGCTAGCAGTTCCTGTAAAGATCTTAAACGTGGATTTACACTTTTCTTAGTTTTCTAGATAAATAATACAACAAAAAGTACTTCACACACACACACACAGACACACACACAATGTACCTGTGGAAACAAGGGAATGCCTTTGAGGAGGTAAAGGGAAGGGATGATAGAGTAATATAGTGTTGCCAAGCTGTTTGGAGGCCATAAACAGTAGACGCAATAACCCAATAGAAGGCCTGGATGAAGCTTTCCAAGGCCATACCATGCAGGACTGTACTTGGACAACAGAATCTGTAGATCACCTTCAGACCATCTCTTGCTCTGCACAAGTGTCTGATCCAGTGAGGTTGGACCAACACCTAAGAACCCTTTTCTCTGTGGATTAAAATACACTGATTTCCATCCCTTGTACTGAATTGATAACCCTGTTATCACATCTTCTACTGGACACCCATATTTCAAACCCATCTGCAAATTGTCCAAATTAACACTTCATTCTCAAATCAATACATACATATATAGGATAATGCTATTCAGACCTAATAGTCTAGCTGAGAATCCTAACAGAGTCCTTTTTGGCCTTATCCAATCAATCCCAGGAATAAAAATCCCTCGGTTAGGATTCTTGATTAGACTAATACGTTTGAGAATCATTATCCGTTTATATATATCTAAAACAGATAGCCCAGTACACGAGACTCCCACCACTGTGTCAGGGGAAGGTCTGATATACGCAGACTTACACACACACACACACATATATTTTGAGAGAGAGAGAGACCTCCTTTCCCCATTGAGTGTTATTTTCATATGTGCAGCTTGCAAGATCCTTGAGCCTTTCTTCCTGTTCATTTACACTTTCTTTTATCTTTATGTCATTCTCACTCTTCCATTCACTCCCATTTGCCTTAGTAAACTTTCTCCCACACAGAGTATCTCTTCTATGAAAGCAGCCAGTTCCAATATATAGAGGACCTCCATGGCCATCCAAACCATGGAATTCCACCTTGATTGCCAACCATCATGCATAAATATTAGCAAATTAAGGAAATAACACATTAAGTAACTTTCAAATATTTTTATGAATTATAGTATATATTTATATACTCACCTCGCTAATTACTCTCATGGAACCACTGTATATTTCATTCTTCGTAATATTTTTAAAATTCTGTGGAAACTGCACAAAAGCGACCTCATTTCCATTTTCTTCATCCATGAAGAAGCACAGAGCGTCGCGCACTGATTGAGAATCATTTGAGTACATATCGCAGTCTACATTGAGAATTATCGGTCCATTGCTTATCTTTGATGACACCCTTATCTGCACATTCGATCAATCACTTTTTTTATACCAAGTAAAGAAATGATGTAAAATTATGTAACAAACTATACATGAACACACATCACTCGGAGGATATGTGTGACATGACCAAGCAACATGCACCTAGCAAGCATTATCCACTAATTCAAGTTTATTATATATAATTGTATAATCAATTTTTTCAATTTGTTCCCTTTGTTAAATTATTGCTAAAATGAATGAAGTCTTTATGCTTTTTTAGTTTTATTTTTATTTTTCACTCTAGAAAACAAAAGAGTACTAAATTATATGAATATTTAGCCGTGTCCCCTTTTATTGAGTTGGAGATTTGTCAAATTTGACACACAGAAACATATCTAAACCCAACATATGTACCCGAGTTCATGAGAGAAAATGAGTAGTCGACATTACCAAAGCATTCATAGCTCCAGCTTTGAAGTTATGGTGATGTTGGGGTCTCTTCTCCCTGGCCAAGTATACCAGAGTAGGCAATGCACAACCTTCAACATCCACAGCAACCGGATCTTTCCCATCAATTAATATCTGGGAGAAGAAAATGAAAATGCATGAAACACTTGCGCGCGGCGCGCACACACATATCTCTTGAATTTCTTTACAAATAAAGTGCAAATTTGAAGTACTTGAAGGATGGTGTCGTGGTCGCGGCGAGATGAAATTGAATTCCACTGAGAAAATCCTTTATGTTCAAATTTGATTTCTTCTGAGATTCTTCCCAGCTTTGTTGCAGTCTCAATTCGGTTCTCCATATCTGCGTATAATTTCTACATCAATGGAAAACAGAGCTGGCTAAGAATAATTTCATAAATTGAAACAGAGTTCAAGATATATATATGGAGAAATCACTACTTTAAATTGTAGATGAGGAGCTTTCAAATTTAGCATTGTACAAAATAACTAGTACTCCCTGGTAAGTCTAAACATTAAAAGGAATGAAAAATCATCCAAACGGATGACATGCTGGGACCCACCTCATTCAATATTGGAGAATCTCAACCACATCATTGTTAGTATATATTTAAAGAAAAATAATTTTCAAAGTAAATAGTTAGTCTCAATAGCCTTGCCGAATAACTTATAACCTCCTTCAGATGCATTAAAGTAGATTTGTGGTAAGTGAGATATCTTATGATTGTAACCTCTTTCAGATGCATTACAGTAGGTCTTTGGTAGTACTCAGACATCTGATGATTGCAATTAATTAGGTCAGGCTAGCTATTTGTCCTTACTATTCACTTTGAATAACATTGCTCATATATATTATTATTATTATTATTATTTTCGAAAATGGGGTATCCGAGGCTTTGCCCTGACTATCCCAAGACACCGTGCAAAGGGCCCCCCTTCCCGGGTTGGTAAAGCTCGGGCTTTCACCCGCATATGTGACCTCAAGGAATTGTTTGCATCAAAGGAAGTAGAATATTAGACCTTGATGCTTCATGAAGCACCAACACCAAACAAGTCCAAGTTGCTAACCACTTGAGCCAACCCCATAGGGTTAACATTGCTCATATTTTAATGACAAATGAGTTGACTAAGAGCACTACACTACAAGCAGACGCCACATTTATTCCAATTCCAAAATGAGAAATGTTAAACAAATGTAAATATATTACCTTGATTAATAGCAACTCTTTGGCATGATTATCATCAAGTGGGTCAGACACAGAGTCAAAATAAGCAGCAGGAGACCTAGGCTCCACTTTGAATTTCTTGCAATAAGGTATCCAATGTTTGGAAAAATGGGATGCCTGTAAAAGGGCATAGTAGGTAAGATCTGACCCACCATCGTCGGAGAGATACACGGCAAGTTTCTCCGGCGGGTAGTCGTATGCCATGACTGATAAAACTGTGTTGATCACCATCATGGGTGGCTCTATTTCAGGGTCAGCTGTGCACACAAATATGTCCACTCCGGGCAAGTCATTCCCATACCTGTTTAACAATGTACCTAGTTTAGCACTTATAGAGATGACTCATGCATGACTTAGTTATATTCTTGTAATTTGAGACTGTTCTCTTATTACTTTTAAAAAAAAACATATTTATGTTTCAAAAACACAATTACACTATCCACCATTACTTATTTGTATTTTTTTTTTATTTATTTGTTTTAGAGGGTGTCTGAACACACTATACCATTCATTCTCATTTCTTAGACAACTCTGCTCATTTAAATGAGCTGATAGCCAAGGTTTTGAGATTGAGTGCAAACAAAGTGAAATAGAAACATAATGAAAATTTTGAAAATTTAGAGGAAATAAAGAGAAAAAAAAAAAATTAATAAAATAGAAAGAAAGAGATAGAGAGGGAAAATAATGAAGTGGAGAGAGAACCTTAATGAGAGCCTGTCCTTGAAGGTGCGTCGAAAGATTAGGTTCCACCTAACCGATTGAGTGACAACCCAATAAAGACCGAACCACAGCTCAGCCCCAAACAACCCCATCCAGCCCAATCTTCCATCTTCACTCCATGTTGGTACATGACTTGCTCTGTAAACCCAAATCAAAACTATACACACAAACATAGATGTCGCAAATATTCTGTACATCATCCTACCCTTTCCTCTCTCTGTCTCAAACAAAGGAACGTAGTACCCATCGCTTCCCATCCTTTTTTTTTCTCTCTCTCTCTCAAACACACCAACATTAAGCGCTCCCTCTCTCTCTCTCTCTCTCTCTCTCTCTCTCTCTCTCTCTCTATATATATATATATATATATATATATATCATATCACATATTTTAGTATTATATTTATGAAGTAAGACCTTGGCGAGGTGAAGTGCATCTCATCTTAACTTGTTCAATAAAATACAAAGAAAGAGGTGGTGGAGGGATAAGACACTGTCACCTCAAAGGGGCGCCACCTCAACGAGTGAGCCAAACATTACCACAACATTATGCTTGGATTTTTAATCGCTTATGTAACAACGACATAATGAAATAATTATATTAGATCCGCTTATGTAATAACGTTATTGTTAATTCATAAGTAATGTATTATAGTATGTAAACAATACAAGATGCAAACACACCAAATAATTCTGATTCCAGTGTTACCCGATAAGCTTCAAATAAAGAGAAAATTGCATTAAGATGGAGCTTTTTTTTGAGGCAAATGCAATTTTAAAGAATGTAAACTCCAAATCACCAACACTATTAAAAAGATGTTAGGTGGTGTAGCATATGATGTCGAATTTAGATCGAATGTCATAAAATAAGTATCCTATCCATCCTCACTTGACAATAACTGATTTTCACGTTAGATGGCAGGGTGTCATACCCTCAAGTTTGAAATTGGTCGCCTGTTAATGGATGCAAAGTTTGAAGAGAGATGCACTTTTTATGTTGTTGTCCCATTACTTTTTCTTTTTCCCTTTTGATTTAGAGAAGTGTTACTTATATACGTACAAATGTATCAATAACAGAGTAATATTATTATTATTATTATTATTATTTTAATAATAAAATTATTCAAATTGAAAATGTAGAGCCAGTGCAAAATAAAATGATAGATGTGAGATCCAAATTCTATAATTTCATCAATTTTAAATTACAAAAGTTGTGACAATAAAAATTGCCAAACTCCCCCAACCGAGTAAGCTAATTAATGAGTTATTTGAGTGATTTAAAAAGACTTGTAATAAATTTAAAATGTCAAAGTCAACCCTAATTGTGATACCACTTAGCCAATAATTAATTTAATTCTATAGTTGAATGAGTCTTATTTTCTATTATTCACATTTTATGATATTTAGAATATAATATATCTTTCACTTTGAAATGAGATTTCAAAGAGATATTACTGACTCAAAAGATATTGATTTCTAATCACATTGTTTACTAAAACGTTAAATATATATTTTAAAAAATAAATAAAATTTTTAAGTAAAATATTTTAATTTTAATTTTTTGGTATTTGACAAAAGTCTTGATTGACGTGAAGTCCATCGAATGGGAGTGTAAAATAATTAATAAAAAAATTAATGAGTAAGTTATTTTTCTTAAATTTAACTATTTTTTTTTTTAATTTATAAATGCTTCAAAATTTTAAAAGACTGTCAATTTGTATATAGTAATAAATGAATAATTCATTCGAATCTATAAAAACCAACTCTATATTATGAATTAATGGATTATAACCGCCTACCGTTTTGTCCGTCTATACATTAAATTGACATTTTAAACAAATTTAACAGACTAACTAGCTGTTGTGAATTAATTAATTAGGGCTTTTAATGTCAACCCATAGAAATCAACTTGAGCATAACTAATGGTAAGATGCTATCAAACTGTTAAACTAACACTCCCTAATCCCAATAATTTACCTCTTTGACACCCGGATAGAATTTGCCCGGTTTTTGAGCGACACCCGGGGATTTAATTAGAAGAGACACAAAATAATACTTTACAAATTATATACCTATATGTTTAATAATAATTCAGGCCCAGGGGTGTTTTAGAAAGAAATAAATTTTAAGGGGCCACAAAATTGTTTTTTACAAATAATATACCTAAAATCATATGGTTATTTGTAGTTACCCAAAATCATATGGTTATTTGTAGTTACCCATTTGCATTTAAAACCTAAAATCATATGGTTATTTGTAGTTACCCATTTGCATTTAAAATTTTCATTCTCAAAGTTAGAATTGGCCTCTAAGTTGGATTGTAGCTTCTTCTTCTTCTTTTTTTATTTTTTATTTTTTATTTTTTTTTCGTTTTTCCAAACCCCTGTATTTTGGTTCTTGTCAAAACAACAACAATAATGGGTCATATATATAATTATATACGTATATATGTATGGTTTTCTCATTCATTTTTCAGTCTTATTTATCCATTATCTTGCATCTAAGTGGGTTTGACAAAATTTTGAAACCCCCTTAATTTGAAAAACAGAATTAAAACGGGGAATGGATTTGGCAATAAAACCAACTTTTATTTGAACAGTTTACAATTGAACTACGTGAACAAAGTTATGTCTAGAGGGCATTCCAAGCACTCTCACTAATTGATGTGAGACAGTGTGTATCAATATTTTTTTGACAAATTAAAACAGAAAATCAATGAAAGATAATGGGATACTTACAATCAACCAGGGATGAGAAAAAAGAAAAAAAAGAAAAAGAAAAAGAAAATTAAACTAAGATTTAAAAAAAAAAAAAATTAAGAGGAAACAATAATGCTAGTTATGTTAACATATAAATGAAGTTATTTACCACCCAAAAAAAAAACATTTATATAAAGTACGCAGTTCTTACTAAAATCATTAATTTTTGCTAGATTAAGTTATTTCAATATGCATCAGATTTCGTAAGGCAACACTTGTAATGATAAGATTGCTTCTTTGTGATGCGAAAGTTATGACTTTGCAAAAATGGAAAAGATACAGGGGAATTAAGATTGAGTAAATCTGACCATCTGTTCAATGGATTTGACCTTTGTTTTAATAAACAGGCACGAGACATGCCAGTGAAGCTATGGTCACAGACTTTAACATAACTGATGATGGTATGCTACCCTTGTCACTCCTGAGGAAGAGGGCTTTGTAAACAGGTGAATTAATCACAACTATTAGCCAGCACAGAACAGCATTTGGGATCAAACCTTCAAGACCAGTACCATTGAACTCCATATCCCAAACAATTCTCTTCATTCCTCCAACAAAACTGAAAAGGTTTAGCAATGCTAGTGTTGCTATAATGGTTGTCATGACAGATGAGCTTCCAAACTCTAAGATCTCTTGCTCGTATCGCTTCAACACATCATCATCGATCACCTTAGCTGTGATGGCGAATGCTGTTTGATGACAGCCCAGTTGCCGGAGAATGTTGTCGATGAATGCGAAGAAAAATGAAGTTGTCCTCCTAAACATCAACATTCTTTGTGTGTTCCACCATGCTTGGAGTGTATCTCCACAAATAATGGCCTCAAATATGCTACAAACATTCCTGGCTACATATACATATGCAAAGGGCAGGAACCACAGGCTGGAAACCTGAGATATACACAAGAAGCCATTAAACCAGGGGTATCTCACACACACACATACACACACTTAACACTAGATAGATGGATATAAGCTTGATAGTTTTCTAATAAAGCAATTGAAGTTGAGTAGATTGTCACTCTCTTTGCTTGAACAGCGGTGGTATTTCGTGTGTTCACCTATTATGTGTGCTGTAGCATGACCATTAGTATCATGTTATATAGGTTGAATGACACGATTAAACAAGTGACCCAACACAACTAGTGTAATATGTTAAATAAATAAATTAAGAGTTGACACTCTACGATCAGGCAAGTCTAATTTAAATTCTTCAATACTATTAGTGTCATTTAAAACAAAAGCACTGACATATTTAGTTTTAGTTTAGAAGAGTGATAAATGTTTGATTAGTCAAATATAACACGTTTAATTAGAATGTCAAATCGGATTAATATAATTACGATCTGAACACAATATAATCAAATTTAAATTCAAACTTACTTGTCTCGTATCGTGTTAGCATGTCGTATCAATGTTGGAGGTACATGCTCACCTAAGAACGCCTTTATATATAATATAGCTTTTTTCTTTGAAAATACTCCCTCTCTCCCAGTTTAAGTGTCGTCAATGAGATTTGTTGTGAGTCACAGTTCTCAATGATGATATTTAAATTTGGACGGAGGGAGCAATTGTCAAGGAGTTGTTCATGCTCAAATTTATTATTAAATAAACCTTGAAACGAATACGAACTGAGACTGAACTATTCATCCGAACCAGTATTTTAAATTTTATAACATAAAAAAGAAACAAATAATAAAAAAGAAGAAAGATTGGTACCTTTGGGAACAAGGGAATGCCATGGAGCAAGCAAAGAGAAGGAACAATGACATAATACAATGTGGGAAAGGAAAGTGGAGCCCACAAAAGGTAATTGCAGAGTCCCACTTGGGCACCAAATTTGATCCTCCCATGCCCATAAATGAAAGGGCAATACTTGGAGAAGAAAATCTGAAACAAGCCCTCAGACCACCTCTTGAACTGAACAAGAGATTGATCTAATGTAGCTGGAGCAAGACCCAAGAAGGACTTTTTATGTGGATTATAGTAAACTGATTTCCATCCCCTGCATTGGATTGCTAACCCTGTTACCATATCTTCCACTGGACACCCATATATCAACCCCATCTGCAACTCCATATAAACAACCACTAAGTCATCAAAATTATATTATATTTTGTCATAAATATACACAGAGAGAGAGAGAGAGAGAGACCTCTTTTCCCCATTGAGTACCAGTCTCATAACTACAATTTGCAAGAACTTTTGATGCTTCTTCCAATTTATCTGCAGTTACATCTTTAATTGTATCAGTCACATTGTCCCATTTTGCTCTATAATCCTTAGAGTACTTCCTTCCACAAAGACCCTCTCTCCTATGAAAGCATCCAGTGCCACCATAAAACGCACCACTACATCCATCTAAACCAGCAAGCTCAATCTTCATTTACAACCAAGATCATTAAAAATAAAATAAAAAATAAAAATGTCAGTATGTCAAAATAATTAATTTGAAAATATATAGGTTGATAAACCAATGCAGAGTTAGTCTTAAAAAAAAAAAATTTGAACAACATTTTCGAGTACAAACCTTATTAAGTGCACTGCCTACACTAGAATAGATATCGTTCTTTGCGATGTTATTGTACCATTG